AGAGGACAATGGGCGGTTCTCTTTGCCAGGGAAGTATTAGTGATTTCACCATGGTTATGACTTGGTAATTGGTTGGCTAGCTCCCCTAGCTCCCTTCACTTGGCTAAACACCGAAAAAGCCCCTGGAACTCCATTCAACATAGGGCTCACCTGCAGGGTCTCGGGCAACACGTGACCATGATGCATATAGCCTCACATGCTGCGGCCGCCATTCTGCTTGGCCGCCAATGTCTCGCCACGTGCTAGCTATTCTTACATCAAGGTTATATGATGATTATATATATATATGTATGCCTTGTTGTTTTCAAGGGTGATTTTGAAGAGCAACCAACGGGAAAGCAAGCATGTTGCTCGCCTGCTAGTTTGCCACATTTTCATATTTGGGGACGACCGTGCATTGCTTGTTTTCTGCCACGCTTTACTGCAGGCGCTCGGTCTCCAAAAGAAATTCCAGCGGCAGCTGTCAGCAAGGCTCGCCATTGTATCCGGTTGTTAGGAAATGTCGGGAAATCGGGGGCTCAACCATCCGTCGTTGGGCTGATAGCTGTTTGGAACCTTTTTGTTTGGCATGCTACTCATGCTCAAGATTCACTGAATATGGAGCAGACGAGACTCTGAAAAGTACTGGGGAGTGCTTTCTTCAGCGGCTAGATGCTGAATCCCGCGAGTGCGCCCTAAGCGCTCTGGACTTGATTTTGGCATGTGGGAAGCTTGTTTTATGGCAACATCACCTTTTGGACACCCTTCCAGGCAACCCCCTACTTTTGTTAACAAAGTATGTTGTAAGTCAGTTGGGCCACTTCCTATTTACCTCACAAACAACTGCCTGCCATCCAGTTTTCGGGTTCACAGGAAAAACCAGCAGGTGGCAGGCCCTTCCTGTTTGTTTGAACTTTTGGGGCTGTCTCTCAAAAGGCACCAGCAGGAAGCCTCTCATGTCAGCCTAGTTTTGGGCTGTTCGGCTTGGCCTCCTTCAAACTAGCATGGACATCTAACACCAAACATTCTGGGACGCGCGTCCCCCTAATTTTGAGGCCCCCCCCCCCACAACAAAAACATGCCCCCCAAAAAAATGCAGAAGGCACTGTGACCCTGCGACAGCCACGTGCCCAAAACCTGCCCTCTCAATATTCCCGTGTGTTGTTCTTTTTGAGAAGGCATGGTACCCTGTCAAAGGCTCGGGAATGGGGTTCAGACCCTCGATCTTGGATTTTTTTGGGTGGCCAAACACCTTTAGGGTGAGTTTGTGGGTGTTCCATGATGTTTGTGGGGCATGATGGTGGATGAGCAAGTGCACTCGGCTTCCAAGCACTAGACCAGGCTCTCATTGACCCCTCCAAAGCCAATGTTTGAGCAGGTTCTGTGTTTCTTGCAAACAATCAGGTTGTAACCCAATCAAAGGTACACAACTTTTTTCCGGCCCCTCTTAAAGTGACTCCAGCCAACTTTGTGGCCAACAAGTTCCAGGGGGAGGGAGGGTCCAAGGCCTGCACTTCAGGCCAATCGGAGTCCAATCGGGCCATCTTCCGGGCCATTTTTTGAAGTCTCCTAGCTGATGGACGTTTTAATTTTTGTTTAAGGGCCGTTTCAGACACACTTATATAGCGCTATGCATGCTTTGTTACAAGCTATATGTTGTGGCATATACGTATCCATACCTCCAAACACGATTGAGAGTGAGGCAAACAACATATAATTTGAAAGCAAGTAACAGGGCCAACGCGGCCTGACATTGTGCACATAATCCTGGTTTTGACACAACCCGGTTGGTTTCTTTGATCCTTTGGCCGCCCTTGCCAGCCTCCGCCACTCAAAGCGGACGTGGCCTCTGTGACTCGAGCACTACGTCAGATTCAGGGCATGTCGAGGATTGGATTGCGGGGAAATGGCGCGGACGGTGAAACAGGGGATCCACAAACGCTGAGTTTAGTGGCACCTCTGTTTCCCTTTTTGTTTGGCGGATTCCATGCAAAAGATGGTCAACTCCACTTTGTCTACCAAGGTCACCGGGCGACTGGAAACGGGTCAATCACATGGAATGGCTGTTCAGGCCTATCCTAGCATACTTATGAATCTGTCGATGCTTTGCCTCACGTTTGACCCCCTGTTTGGCGCTTGCGCCCTTTTTTGGGTTTCCAACAGCCCGCGAAGTAGTTTTTTTGTGCGCAGGGTCCTGGTCAAGTTGCAAGTCTCTAGGCTGTGCTCCCCATTCAACTATAGCCTGCGCGCTTTAGCCACACTTGTGACAAAACTTTGACACCATGTTGCTTCCTGCAGCGCCTTCGTGCTTATTCGAGGCTGGCTTATCACTCTTAGTTACTGCAAAATGTGGCTCAAGAAGCAGGCCGCTATTCATGCTACAAAGTCGTCGTGATGTTCGAGAGTGTTATATGTGAAGCCGCGTTTCCGTTATACATTCGCACCCGCTTGGCGCCATTTTGCTGATGGCAACGGAAAGCCTGCAACTCATTGTGAAGGCTAACATGGAAACCGCAAATCATGAGTCCATGTTGAGGGAAGGGGAATTTCTTCTGAACATAGTGCCCCTTTCGGGGTTCCGGCAGTGCTGTCCAGTTCAGGAGCAAGCAAGCGCTGGCAAGCAGGGACCTCGGTTTGCCCCCTGACTTGACTCCTTTGGGACCTTTTGGGTTCCTTCCGCGTGGCAAGCAAACCTCAGCAAGTCAAGATCATTACATGCTGACAATTACATGTTCTGATTTGTTGCGTGTGTGTGCTTTGTGTCGTGTTTTTGTTTTACAATCATGGGTGTGTTTTTGTTGAGTCAGGGGCCCCCAACATGGATTTTCGGTTTCCTGGCGGTGTCCACCAAAAATAGGGGAGCCCAAACCCTCCAAAAGGCAACAGCGAGAGCCGCCCAGTTTTCGCCCGTCCGCGAGCTGTGCTAAAGGCATACAGCTGACGAAGATCATGGGCCTGGCCAAGTTCCGGGAGTCCCTCTCGGAGGTGGACCAGGTGGATTGGGCTGGTTTGGGGGGTCTAGCAGTACAGGGGCATCCAGGGTCCTACCCAAAACAATGTGTATGTATATATATATATATATGTAATTATAGACTGCACAGGTAAGTCCTTAGAAGGGTAACTGGGAGCGAAAGTTCACGCCATTTCTTCGGCGTGCTCGCAAGAAAGTGAGTTGCTCTCTAAATAGTCGTTGTTGGTGAGTTTGAAGCCACACATTTTCCCTGCTTTCCCGACTCCAAGGTCGTTTGGTTCGACTTTGGTTCTACGCCCCGCGGCCATGGCCTTTTTCCCGCTGGCGGTTTCCCTAGGGAGTGCGTTCCAATTTTTTTCGGCGGTCAAGTTCCGCGGGAGAAGTGGAGAGGCCATGGTGGCCTCCCACCTCCCACTCATCCCAAAGCCATGGGAAGCCATGGGAAGCCATGGGAAGCCATGGGAAGCCATGGGAAGCCATGGGAAGCCATGGGAAGCCATGGTTGCAGACAGGGATCTGGGACCACCAAGAAGACACCCCTGTGAAGTCATCCAAGCGTGGCAAAGGCTCAGGGTTGTGTCACGGAAAGTGGGGTGCCCGAAGCATATCCCAAGGTCTGAACTCTCGGGATCCCTTTGGAGAAGAATCCAAACGCCTCACCAACTCGAAGGGTAAGGCAACTCGCGGTACGGGAAGCCCCAGGGCCTAGCAGCGTGGAAGATAAGCAATGGCCAAGTTGAAAAGCGCTGGCATTACTCGCCAAGTGCCCAACTTCCAGGGCAGACCACTTTCCTTTTTGGACAGGTTTGCGCACCCCATGGGATGGAAACCGGCTCTGAATCCAGTCAAGCATTGCAGCTTTCGGAAAGGGAGGGATCCTTCACCCACGAATCTGTGCTTGAGATCCGCAAATCCAGTTATGTTCCCTCCATCTGAGGGAAATCCCCCCCAAATCAAGCAGGGGTTTCTCAAGCCTCCAGTGTGTTGGTTCCTTTTTCGTTTTCTTTTTTTTTTGGGGGGGGGTCCCTTATAAAAACACCAAACAAGAAGAGCACCCTTCTGTCCCAGTTTATCCCGCGGGTTCCCAGATCAATGTCCATGCCGCAGATTTGCGAGGCGGGGGCGGATAGCTTCGCAGAGGCGCTGGAGCAAGCGGCGCCTTTCTTCACCGAGAGGCAGCAGGACCTGGGGTTGTGTCTTTTTCGGGGCCCCCCCAAAAGACTCCGCCCCCCCCCGGCATAAAAAAAGGGCTGTGTCCATTTTGCGGGTTGCCTGGTAATTTCCTCTGTTCTGTTGGTTGGTCTGAAAGAGAGGGGGTCCCCAAAATATACGCTAGCCTCAGGTGGCAGAGACCTGTCCCAGCCATTGTGCCATGGTGGGCAAACTAGTGCAGGTCGGGTCGAGAGGTAGATGGCTGGAACATGTGAAGCGAAACCTTTACACGGCGTTCAACTTAAGCCTGTAGGCTGAGGCCATGGTTCGACCTAGGGTCCTTGCATTTCTTGTTGGTGATCTAGATATCGTTTTTCGGGGTTTTGAGCAAACACGGACTTGCATTGGGCCCCTACAAAATGCTTGGACGATCAACCCACGTGATTCTAGGGGCAAGCGCTTGGTTAGTTACTTTACCATCAGCAAGTAACCAGGGTGGGAGGGTTACACTTCTAGGGGTCCCTGTCTCAGTGGCTATTTTGGTCGACGTTTAATAGGGATATACGAGGAAATCGTGCACGGTCCCAAAGCAGGAGTTTTTTGGACATGCCTATAGCAATTCGGGTTGTGGCACGGGGAGCCTCATGCCCCCAAAAAGGGAACATCAATCAATGGTGGCTCAATATGGGGTGCTGGGGGGTATGCTTCACGCTTGGAGGACCTCCCCAACTGTTTTGCAAGGTTATCCGGGGTGTGGAATTACCAAACGCCAGGAACCTTACCCGGATGTGCAATCCGTTCAGTAGGTTGCAGCCATGGCTGTAGCTGCAGTAACTGGCGTTCGCCCTCTTTGTAACAATACTTGCAGCTTGCTTAGCAAACTCAACCCAAACTCCTCATGGTATGTATAGTTCTGTTCAGGTCCTAAGCTGGCAAAATCAATCCTTAAATCCTTACGTCACGCAGTGATTTCCACTTACTAAGCTGGTTTCAGCAATCAATCACCAATCAATCCTAAGTCCTTATGTCACGTAATGATTTCCGTGTTTCCAAGCTTGTTTCAGCAATCAATCCCAAATCCTTATGTCAGGCGTTTCCCTTAAACCTCGAAATAGCTGGAACCTCAAAGCGCCGCATTTGCAAGCCCCTGAGGAGCAGATCTCAGAATGGACCGGGCTGTTCATGAGCGCTGAGCCGCTACCTCCAGCTCCTGAGCTGAATCAATGCGTGCGTTTGCGCCCCCCCTTTGGGTTGGCCAGGTGCATGTTTAGTGGGTCTATTGAAACAAACAGCGGACAATCATATCAGCGGACAATGTATGAACATTCTACACTCTTGGCAGACTTGAAAGAACTAAGCGCTTTGCTCACATACCAGGGCTTGGACAGATGACCATCGTATCGGTTTTGGGTACTGCAGTTCCCTGTCGAATTCTAGTGGCAACATTATTGCTGGGTCTTCAAATCATACCTCGATGGTTGGTTGAGTCAGGCGAGTAGTTATTCCAGTTGCTTGGCCTTGAGGAACTATGCGACAAGATGGGTGTTGGATCCCATGGCTTCGGGAGACAATCGTGCGCCAAGCACTTGCCTCCAAACGGAAGTCCATGAAAATCGGTGGTTTTGCTTCAAACTACCCCAAGGATGCGCCTCCAAAGCCCAGGTCAAGGCAAAGACCGAGACCAAGGCCAGCGGGATGGGCTGGATGAGCTCCGTGGCGCCCTGAGGGGCGTATTTGCTCCGTAGTGCGACTTCATAGGATAAACCCCGCCGTTTTTGTTCCGCAACCTCCGGGGTTGATGATGCAGGGGTGGCCACCAAAAGAAGTTTCTTTCGGTGCTTGCTGTTTGGCTGGGAGATGGAAGTTCGGTCAAATTACTGGTAGTCTATGGTGTATCTGGGAGGGGCATCTGCCTGTAGCATGTCAAGAACTGCAATCCAGTGCCACCGTTTTTTGTTTGTTGTGTTCTTTCCTTGGTGAGCCATGACTTGTTTGTGCCTGTCTTGCCTTCATTAGAGGCCGAGGATGGGTAAACGAGCCGCCGCGAACATCCATCATTGCGTGGCTAAGACCTCGGTCCTCCAAAATGGGTGGTTGCCTATGGGTGGTTGCCTTTGTTGTTTCTCCAACCACCCCCCAAAAAAAGCACTCTTATAAAACAAGATGCACATCCATGTCTATACCTTGTTGAGCGCAAATTCGATTCAGCGTTAATTCCGATGAGCAGCGCCGACTGAGGCTCAGATGGGTAGAGTTGGGGACAGACTACCCACATGGCCCACATCTTGGCAATTCCTGATAGGTCAGCAACAAACAGGTTTGTTTCTCAAAACAAACCCATTAACAACAACGGGACCAACACATCGCCAACAACAACCAAACAGACACCCATGCTTCACATGGATTGGCCTTCAGTTGGAGAAGGCCTCTTAGAGGGTAGTTCGCAAATGGCTTTCTACAACCTGCCTAAAAAGGCAACCGCAAAGCAAGGCACACTGCAATACACTTCGCTTTGAAACTTGAGGTTGGACAAGAAACCTGAGGTTGCACTGCGAAATCTACTGTAGAAACCTGTGTTTGGGCGGGGGAAGGCAACTTGTTGCTTTGTTGGAAGCGCGCGTTCTGCGCAGCCCTTTTGGCTCTTTTTCTGTAGGGGGCCATTCCCAGATGCCTCCAATGCAGCGGCTTCTGGCCACCTGGCCTCAGGGCTTTGGGCGCTAGAGTAACCACCGACTAGTGACTAGAAGATTGCCGCTGGGAGGTGGAGACTGGAAACATCAAGATATGTTTTTGGGTGCAAATTAATGGAAACTGACTCAAAGCGCTTATTTTGGTGAACATGAAGCAGAATTCGTGAATACGGTACTCCTTTTGACTCCGGAGTTGATGTGGGACAAACAGCGAGCAAGTCGCCAGTACTTGAGTTCCCGAAAGCCAGGGGTCGACGGGGTCGATACGTCCTGAGCAAAGTTCGCGGCGTCACCAAGAGAGGTTGTTTTGCGGCCAGAAGGGCACCTGAGATGAAACTGTCTTTTCTGGGACTGTTTGTTTTCAGGCAAATATACAGTGAAATTCCTGATGCGATGTTTACCAGACCTACTTGCTTGCCCAGAAGGGCATTGCCAAGAGGCTTCCAGAGGACTGCATGCCTACATCCAAAGTTGTGCCCTGACGTCGGGACAGAATGGGAAGGCTCGCAGTATCAGAATCGTCGAAAAGACGTTGACCCGCTTCTGGACGGTTTCAATCCAGAACCGCAGGGCACAAACGTTGGTTAAATCCGAGAAGACTGCTAATGCGTACTACCCGGCGAAGAGCCGCACATTCCACAGCTCGGGCTCCTCCTGGACTTTGCGTTTTGGAAGGCCATTCCAGTAGCAAACCAAAATTTGGACTTGTTTAAACTTTGCATCAATCCACTCAGAAAGTGAGGAATCCTGTCGATACTTGTACAGGAAGTGAGCCTGAATCACCCAACTGGCCGTGCCGTTTGGCTCATAGGTGTTTTTGGCTGTAAATGAGAAATGCATTTGTGTGTTGTAGATGGAAGCTTCACACAAGGAACGGGATTGTGTTCAATTTGTCAAATCCCCAAGTTTTGTTGCTGCGCTAAAGCTTCAGCACGGCCTTGGGCGACAGTGATTCATGCTTCAGAGTACAGTACAAGGGATTGTATTTTTTGGCACTTGTTTTTGTCTGTTCTTCTCGAACATGAGGAATCGACCCACTGTTGTTTGGTTTCGTAGTTTCCGGGGTTTGCATTTTGAGAGGGGTCAGGGTTCGCGTAAACGGAACTATGGCGGCAACACCTCTTGCAGGAACTTGTGGCATAATTAGGCATAGGTGTCCTTTTGCATCAGTTCAAGTGAATGCAGATGGCACTGGATCCAATCCGGTCCTAATTGGTTATTTACCAGCTAGTAATTTTCCAGTACCATGTATTTTCCGAAAGCACTCCCAAATATTTGTGTGTGTGCGCGTTTCTTTTGAGGTACCTTTGCATCTTGTTCAAGAGGACCCCCTTTCTATATATTGATGTTTTGTTTCCAGGTTTCCCCAGTTGTTCCTTTCTTTCTCGCTCCCCGCGATGGGCCCGCAATGGCAGTGCGTGTGACGGTGCGGAATGCGGTATCTGGGGACATCCTCCTGGAAAGTGCCTTTGACAGACTAACCAAGCTTCTTGGCCGCTATTTGGAACCCCGACTAGTAAACCTCTGGTTGACTAGGGTGGTCCCCTACCCATCAGTAGGATGGGTTTGTCAATCTGAGGGTATCGAGCTCACCTTTACGAAAGCAAAAGGGACATTTTTTTCCAGTTTGGAGGTAGGATCCATATCCCCTCCCGTAGCATTCCAGGATCGGGACCCTGCGGAGACAAGTCATTGCCCTGCAAGACGTGAAGACGGAGTTTTCCAGCGTGCGACTCTTGTTGGCTGCGTCTTGCCTGGGCGATGATGTAACTCTGGCGGCCTGTGATCCGGAAGGCGCCGGCCTGGTTGTTTTTCTCTTTTTGCATTGGTCGCTGGGCAAAGTAGCGGGGTTGGCGTCCATGTTTTTCCAAAACGAGGTGGGGCAAACTGACACGAAGGCAACCCTGGAAGGCACGGACAGCCGGGACGTGAGACTGGATGCGGTTCAATGCGTTAGCCCTCTGTTGGCAGCCGCGTGCGATGCTGGACTTGCCATGGTGAACATTGACACCTTGAACTACTTCTCTGTTGCTCAAGATGCTTGCATGCAACCAATGTCGATCAGATGACGGACCTCTTGGCCTTCCATACTCGGCCTCGGCTTTCCAGTGTCAACTTTCATGGGTTCCAAGCGTGCTGTCCTTTATTCGGGTATGATTTGTAGCAAGCGACCCTTTGTTTTTATGTCAACTGCTTTTGGCAGGGTTGTGGGATCACTCGAGGTTTATCCAACCGCTCCTGTGATACAAAGAAACCCTCTCTTTAAATGGGGGGTTAGCCTTATGGGGGGAGATGTCTTTGGGAGGCCCTTTTTGTTGTACAGATGTGGATTCCATGTCTCACAGCCGCTTTTGGACGTATCAGCTACTTTTGGAGGAGTCTTAATCGTGAGGACCGTCCCGTGCGATCAGTAGCGTTCTCACCGGATGGCACCACACTGGCGACGGGATCCGATGATGCCACGGTGCGGCTCTGGGACATTCCCTCGGGCTTGTCATGGCAAAGGACTTTGCGGGGTCCTTTTACTTCCCTTTTGGCCAGCCTAAACATGGAAGCACAGCTGGAGTGGGCCGCCCTGCGTGAGTGTGCAGAAAACAAAGCGTCATTTTTTGTAGCAAGTAATTGGTATCATTTGCCATGTTTCAAGGGGCGTATTGGAACCCTGAAGGACTCTAAATGGTCACACCAGCACTGTGTCATCTGTGGCCTATATCGACAAGAGTCTCAGTTGCAGTGAGGCACCATGCTTTCGGAATCAGAACATGTTTGCACGTGGATCTGGCAGAAGTGGGCAAGGAATCAGGCAAATCCGCCGCAAGCAGGGAAAACCGCCGCAAGCAGGGAAAACCGCCGCAAGCAGGGAAAACCGCCGCAAGCCGGAAAGCCCGCAAAATGCCCATATAGAAAGTTGATCTGGGATGGGAAGCCCACTTTGGTACATCGCGGCCTCGCTTGACCAAAGCGAATCTGTTTTTTTGGAGTCTGGAGACCCGTTTGGTTTGTCGCCTTTGGCTCATGCTTGAGCCGGCTGGCTCTGATTGCTGGGCGCTTATGGGTGAGGAGCCGTTTGGTCACGGCGTCTTACGACGAGACGGCCAAGATTTGGAACTTAGACACCGGTGACTGCCTGGCCACGTTGCTGGGCCATACCTTGCCGGTGATTTCTGCGCAGCCGTCGCTGGACAAGATGATGATAGTGACACTCGGAAGGTGAATCGGCCTTTTGGTTTCCACGTTTTGACCTTATAGCTTTTGGATTCCCCTTTGGTTCGGTTTAGAAACATGGCCGGAACACGGTTGGCCACCTGGAAGATATTCGGGTTTGTTGGTTGCAAGTGAGGACAAGCTCGGATGATGAAACCTCAAGAATCTGGAGCACCAGCGGTCAGCATTTGGTCACTGAGCTGAATCTGGCAGAACCTTTGAGTTGAGTGGGATCCCTTAGCCTTTTCTTGCCTGCGCCATCGAGCTTTTGGTGGTTAATTGGAGCCCACGAGCAAAAAATGACTTGCTACAACCAAAAGTGGCTCTTCGATTGCAGCCCAGCGGGAACTAGATCAGCTTTTGCTGGGAAGCCCAGTTCACTTTGGTTTGGCGTGCTGTTGCGAAGTACCTCCGTGTTGTCGGAACTGTCCGCTTGACCATGGCAAACGTGTACCTAGTCGTATGCATATGCATATGTATATGCGTAGACGCGTTATGGCGCGTTTACTTTTGCAATCATTGAACGGGCCGGAAAAAACAAATCATCTGGGCAACTTGAGTAATTCTCTCTTCCAGCTGACTTAGATAATCCCCTGGTAAAACAGCGATTTTTTGATGCAGTAGAAATTATACATGTTTGTGTATATAGATATTTACATGTCATGGGTATCAACATCATTTGCATTGGCCAAGGTGACACTAGCAGGGCATGAACACTTCGTGGTGTCTGCGGTCTTTTCCCCGGACCAAAGGCAGGGTTCTTCATATTTTTGTTTGAGCGGACCACGCGCACAGGTGTACTTGGAAAGTGAGTTTTGTTGAACATGGATTCATCCCCCTAGCTTTCAGTTTGGTTCCGATCATTGCCACTGCCATCTACTTGTCCAAAAGGGCAACTAAGATCGCACATTGCAGTATCTCTTGACCATTGGACAGGCATTGCAACTTTGCTGATGATGCTTGCTGTTGGACGGTTATCCTGGCCCTGGGTGCATCCCTGTCATCTCTCAGTGCAGTGTTTCGTGGGCAATGCGATGTCCCATATCTGGGTCCATGAAACGTCTCTTAAAATGTGAAACCGACGGCTTTTGAGACCCGTTGTTGTATAGCACCTTTGGATTGGTCGGTGTTCCATTTCCGCCCACCGAAGAACCCCCCCGGCGCCCCACCCTTATTTCGATTCAATAAGGCTTATTGTCTCCTAACTCTGGGGTGTTTAGGTTTGCCTGAGCACATTACCTCTACCGAACTTACAGTGGCCTGAAAAGGTGATGTCCAAAACAGCCAAGGGAAACTTGCGGATTCCGGACCATAGTTGTAACCTACTTGCCTGACTTTGGCTGAACCCCAGAATTGTGTGTGTGTGTGTGTGTGTGTGTTTTTGTGTTTTGGTTGTTGACGCTCGATACCCTTTTGGGGTTGGTTAGGGGAACCAAAAAGACCTTTTGTTTTGTGTTTTTTTCTTTTGGGGGGGGCGGGCGCAACTCCCCAGCCTCTTTCTACTAATCGTGGAAATGCCAAGGCCCGTTTTCAATAGACAGAAGTATTGCAAGACCTCCTCTTGATTCTTGGAGCATGAAGCATTTTGACACAACGCACAGAGACGCGCCAGAACAAATGACACAGAGAGAGAGAAGGGAGAGAGGCGCGCCGCGGCAGGTCCGTCCTCACGGCGTCTTTGGATTGGACTGCCAAGACTTGGGACTTCAAAAGCGGCGCCTGCCTGGTGACCTTCCGAGGCCATGCCTCCTTCGTGCACGAGGCGTGGGTCGGTCCCAAACGTCCCCCCCGCCGCCTTTTTCCGGACATCCAGGACACCCTGTCTTGGACGGGGGACCAAATGCGTATGTGCCTTTTGTGTGCACATATGTATATATATAGTTATTTACGTCATGCATTTACACACGCAAGATACACAATTAGAGGACATCTCCACAACTCTTAATCAAATAGCTCGTAGCTACCGGTGGGTTGATCAGAATCCAGCTGCCCCAGAACAATAACAGGTTTACCGTATTTCGTATTTGGAGGCAAATGACAACCGAGTTCCGCGCGGGAACTCGGGGATGGAATCCACTCGTGGGAGACTATGGAGTCACTTAAGCCATGTTGACCCGGACAATCTACCAGGCTGCCATTTAAAGTCCAAGAGCCAAGCTGAAGTGCCCCTTTGTTTCGCCCTGCCAATCAACATGAAACCCCGGACAGGAATCCCCCCAACGAGTACAAAAGAGTGCTCAAATGATTTTGTTTGGGGGTTTCATGTCAGTCTGCTGTAGAGGGAGGACACTTCCAAAGTACCATCCCACAGTTGCTTTTGGAAAAAGGTGGGAGGAGGAGCACTTTTTGGCCTTTTTCCCAGTTTTCGGGAAGTGGATTGGATTTTTCTCAGGCAACTTACTCGCCGGACGGCTCTCTGGTTCTCACGGCCTCGGAGGACGGCGGGTGGGTTGCCCAAGAGGGGGGGGGAGGCGTTGGGGGACAGGTTTTGGAACAAGGGAAATGCAGAAAGGCAACACGCCATTTCTTAGCATAGTGATGGGAATTATATGTGTTTTGCACCTTTTTGGCGATACCCTTAATTGAACACACCCCCTTCGAAGTGCTAACATGCGGGTGGAAGGGGATTCAGCCACTAAGCATCCCTGGCAGGGGCTTTGGAGCAACGCCCGTGCAAGGCCAAAAGAAGGAAATCACAAGGAGGTTCAAACAACAAGCAGCACCCTCCGAAGGCCGCAGGGTTGAACAGCACCTCAGGACCTGGACGTTTTATTTAGATTACCATCAGTCCTTGGTGGTGGTGCTGGTGTATCGACATGTTTCAGTCTACAACAGCTTCTTTGGAGAGCACCAGGATTTTGGGAGGTCTTGGACAAGCAGAGGTTGGGGGGGGGGGGCGCTGGGTGTTCTAGGGGTAACTTTCCCATTCTTTCCAGGGATCCTTCTTTCTAGAGAACCACCGAAATCCCTGTGGAAATGGCTGGCTTTTGAAAAGAACGATGGCTGAAAAGAATGGAATTGGAACCAACCCCTAGATTAGAGCCTTGAATGTTACCTGCTATCTAGTGTTTGGAGACGTTTGTTGTTCGCAGACAAAACACATGCACACTTTTTGCAAGGGGTGAATGGCCCAGGACGAATCCGCCAAGGTGTGGCACGCCGAGACTGGCCTTTGCTTGCAGACCTTGGCCACCCACGCGCGAGCGGCCTGCCTGATGTCGGCGCTTTTCGTGAATGGCCAGGTGGTGGTGGGCAGCTTCAACGGCCACCCGCTGGGATTTCACGTGTTGTGTGTTTGTTTGTGTATGTTTGTTTGTTGTACTGTTGTTTGTTTGTTTGTGTGTTTGTTTGCTCATGTTCCGGGATGAGAGGGGTTGTTTGTGGCTTTAGGGGATCTTCAAAAATTTCCGCTTATTTGTAGCGTGCTTGAATCAGGTGATCTTTGGATAAATCATGTGGTGAACTCTGTTTTGGTGGCATGATAGACAATGTGATATATACTGCTGAATACTTTTAGGGGTCCACACTGCCTTCAGGGCATATATGGACTTCAAAATCAGGCCTAATAACTGCCTTGATTTGTTGTTGTTCACAGCAGTTAAAGTCACATCTTAACTTGTTTCACCAGAATGCAATTTGGGCAAGGGTAGTTCCTCGCAAGGCTATATCCATCTCTATTCCATGGATGATGGAGAACCGGAGGTGGCTTCGACGCTGAACCTCCGCAAAGGCAGCATCAACGGCCTGGCCATCGCTGGGTCGCATGGTGCTTGTCAAGACTAGGGGCCCGCTTGGCACGGGAATGGAGAAGGTGAACATTTGCCATCCCCTCTTGATGACGTGAAACTTATCAAGAGAGATAGTCATCTAGAAATGATATTTAAAGAAATACTAAGGTTCTACGAATAGTGTGAAGCCACGCGGGCTGGAGCAGAGCTTCGTTTCTGACTGCCTTGCGGCTTGCCGGCAGGTGCCGGACATCGGCTTGAAGCTGAATGCCTGCGAGACCTTGAAAAGGTGAGCCGTGGGCCTTTGCTTAGGGCATCAAGCCATTCTCGCGCGTTGCGACATCGCTTTGCCACAGCCAAAATCGCCGAAACATCTGACTGTGTGTTCGAATGTTGACGCCGGAGTGGAAACCCCGTCTGAGTTTGAGTGGAGGCTTCTTGCTAAAGGGGGAACTCCCAAGCAATCAACCTAGCTTGTTCGCTGCTTCCATTGCTTTCAAGACCAAGCACTCAATCAGCAAGTTGTAGACCAGACCTTTGAACAGTGTCCCAGTTGTACAGTGGAACACTTGTTCGGTTTGGCGGGTTTCCCCTTAGTCTTTGACCCACACGTCCCCCCTTTCATTGTTTTGTTGTTTTTTCGTTTTGGGTCAGTTGCCACCTGTTACCCTGGGTAACAGGATCCAGTTTGTTCGCATCTTGCCAGCAGCTCTTGCATCCCAGGCCATCCTGGCCTTGTGCCTGTGGTCAGCAGATGCCACGCCCATGCAGAAGGCCGGTTTCAGTTCGGAGCCCATGGGTCACAGTGGATGCCCTATGGCAAGTAAGCCAACCATACACCACAAAACCATGGTCAACATCGAGGATCTATATGTATGTTTCCCTTATTTGCAATATTGATAGTCTGCGATTGTCCTTCTGACTGCTACTTTAGAACATTGCCTCAGCAATTCTAATTTGAAGATCCGAAGGCATGAACGCATTTGTTCAGTTTTTGGCTCAGATGAAGGAGTTGCACTATCACTTTGCTTTTGTGAGCGGGCTTGTCTAGTTTTGACATGTGACGGACATGCCCCCCAAAGATTAAAGACTATAGAAGCTAAGGAAGGAGAAACTGCCCCTCTGATCTTTGTTTTGACGATGGCCCGTGTTTGTCAGAAACTCGAAGCATCGGGAGCACCGGGAGGTGCAGAGGCTGACATTTGTGCCGCGGGCACGCCACCCACATTCATGCCACACGTATAAAGCAGAGGACAGGACGCACCTGGCAGGCCTGCATGAGTGGGTCGTTTATAGTCTACAGCTAAGTTGGGAGGAACATGCAGCTTTACTAAATGTCCCAACAGACAGGGTACTCACTAGTTGTTTCATGTTCATTAAAGAAGTTGCATATTGTGGCGACCGCGGATCGTTTGATCATTTTGTGCGTGTGTTGGTTGGCACGGATGCCGGCTGAAGTTTTCATCGTGCCTTGCCAGGTCATTGCAGCCCTGGACAGCACCCAAGCGGGAAGCTGGTGGGGTAAAATTGTGCGATCTCCGCCTTCAAAAAGCGGAGTTGGGGAGGGGCGACCCCCTTAATTTGACTCTTTGCGGGCAAGACTGGGTAAGTTGAATTGGGGGCCTTCACTAAGTTGGGGGGGGAGAATGTGGTTTGAGTGCAACATGCTTTCTCTTGCACCCAGCTGTTCAGCGGTGCTCTGTTTCCCTTCTTCGTTCTTGTCTGGTGGGTTTGTTGGCACATCGCCGTTATGGTTTGAGGCAGTTGGCAGTGATCACATTTGTCCGCCTAAGGCATGCTGACGAAGAGCAAAGAGGCACGGGTTGAACGACAGAACATGTTTGCCCCCATGCTGCTTCATTCGATGTTTTTCTTTCTTCAGAGTGCTTGGAGCTCTAGTTCGAACCATACTTTAGTCATATGACATATGGTTTCGTTATGCTGCTTGGCTGACTGCTCAAGCCAAGTGCTACGAGGCACTCTCGTGGCGTTGACCCCATGTGATTTCGTGTGGCGCAGGAGATGCAAGAGGAGAAGGTGCAGTTTGCCAAGTTCGACCAGCCGGACGGTTAGCTCGGACCTGCGTGGGTTTCGGCCTGGTTTCCTTTGTTTTCAGGAGTTCCTCGCAACCTCAAGTGTTTAACATCAACAAGAGTGGCTTCCAAGGTCTCTCTCTTGGTGCCCCTTGACTTGATTTCGTGTTTTTGAAGGGGATCCGTTTCAACTCACGTGCAGGGGCCCTTTTTTCCAGCCACCAACCTGGGATTCCAAGTCACAGGATCTCTCCAGAAGGTATTTCCAGCCCTGGAACGATTGCTTGGCGCTCTCTTGGGGAAAGTGAGTGATAGATTGCTCTTGGTGCCTGGGGTCAGCACCGAGGAGACGGATGTGCATGTGCGGGCTACTGGGGGGGGAGGGGGTGCTGCGAAGCTCAGGTTCTGCAAAGACAACCTGAGCAACAAGCGGGCGTCAATCAAGGACTGCATGTGGGAGGGGCCTTGAATAGTGGACATCTAGCAATGGCCACAGTTTCGCGTCAATTTTCTTGTAAATTAAACCTTTGCTTGGACACACTTTGGATGATGGGTCCCTCCAGTTGGATGTTTCAACTTTTCGGCAGCTGCACAACAGCTCTGTTTTCCCTATGTGTTGATTTTCCCCCTTTTAGTCCCATGCAAAAGGACAAAGCCTTTTTCCCAATGGCAAATTACTTTTCAGGTCTTAAAAGGGAAGCCAAGAGCAAACCCTTGCCATTCGGGATCCCCCCCGCCTTAGCCTTGGAATTTGGGGGCGGGGGGGTTACCCTCGAAATTTCACGCTGAAATTTCACGGCGGGCCCCCTTCAACAAGGAGATTTCCGGTCTCAGATGATCTTCCACAGGAGAGGGCCCAGTGGTTAAGGCCCGCAGCTTTGTGGCCTCATGCGATCCATCATGATCCACCACCCTTTGGCGCAATGACGTGCTTCCGCCTCGACCTCGCCGGAGTTGCCGGTCTCCAGGGTGGCGTCCAGGATCTGGAGGCCGTAGACGTCCACCGTGTCGGCGGTCTGGTTGGCCAGCCCGGCGCCTGGAAGTGCGCGCCGAAGTGCAGCTTCGCGGTTCCGTTTGGGGGCACGGTGCGGTACATCTTGGCGGTGCTCCAGGTGCCCTGGTCCCGTACAGCGGGTCGTAGACGTTATCGGCCTCGGACATGTACACGGCAATGGCGGCCGTGCCGCGGTACCGGTAGGCGTACGCCTGGAAGTCGTAAGCGCTTCGGCGACCATAGCGGCGTTCCGTCCCGTGGTCCTTGAGCGGAAGCGTGGTTTTGGAGGGGCTCACGTGCTTACGCCTGAAAGTCGTAAGCGCTCCACCCCATTCAGGCAGGGAGCGTGATCTCTTTGGCTGAATGGGCCGAAGCACTTGCGACTTCCAGGCGTGAGCACGTGGGCCCCTCCAGGAGCACCCCAAAGCCTTGTCACCACATGCTTTGCAGCTACTCCCCTTTGTCGTCAGGACACCAAGGAGCAGCTGGAGAGCGTGGCGGCGCAGATTGCGCACCTGGAGAGCGAGGCTGAGCGCTTGGAAGCGGAGATGTCCAGCCATGAGGCGTGGATCTGCGGGGTGTTTCCTTGAAGGGGACCAACATTCTTTTCCGGGGTGTTTTAGTGACCCCATACTGTGGATGGACGAAATCCGTTTCCCCACCACCTAAGAAGCAATGAAAAACCATTTTTCGCTTTGGTATTTACAGGGGGCATTCCAGGGTTTCGCAGGTGGTGCAGGGTTTTGTCAATCCACAGTATGAATCTTGCTGGTGCGACAGGCAGGGAATGAGGAATGAACTGGTGGAGACCCCTTCGGGGCAGTCTTGCCCTGCTGATAGGCACCCTACTGTGGATGGACAAAATCAAATCCTGCACTGCCCTGGTTTCAGCCAATTTCTTTCGGTTTCGACCATGGTTTCATTTCGTGGTTTGCGATTTCTGGATGTCGCAACCATCCACAGGGACGAATTGGGATGGACCGGTCGGTCCCACGAAGCTGAGGCCTCCATCGAAAAGGCCAAGGCCCAGGACGTGAACGCCACCGAAGCTTCGAGCTAAGCCGGGGGCATTTGTTCTAAAAGTGCCTTTCAACCATTCTTTCCAGGGATCCTTCTTTTCAGGAAACCATCAAAGACCCAGGGGAAACAGCATATTTTTAAAGAACGATGGTTGATAAGAATCGGGAACCAACCCTAGGGTTCTGTTTGTTTGTCTTTGGGCGCCGAGGGTTGGTGGTCGTTGAGCGTTGGGGGGGGGGGGTGCGGGTTTTGTGGGGGTTGCGGGTTGGGGTTGGGGGATTTTTGTGCCTTTTTGGAAAGAAGCAACACGGAAACCTGTTTCTTTGATATGGGCCCGGAGAAATGACGGACAAAAATACATGGTCTTCCTTAAAGTTTTTTTGGTTTCCCAGTCCAGAAATTAGAGTACGAGCTTTCCCTCGTGCGTGCGGAGTGCGGCAAGACGCCATGTGTCACTCCTCACTCGAACTCTTTTGCCGACACTTGGGGGTTGTGAACAAATGATGTCCGCTGTTTTTTTTGGTGTATCCTTTTTAAAGACCGGCAGGGCCGGCTGTGTCCAACAAGGTGTGGGTCGTGTTTCCCCAAGCCCTCCATGGTGTTTCCTTGACCGGGGAACGTTGCGAGGTGCGGAAGGCGGAGGAGGCCGACTTCGCGGCGAGGCGGATGTGGATCTCCCAGAGTTTCTGTTGGGTTTTGCTTCCTTTCAGCTTTGGAGCCCTTGAAGTAACGTTCGGTTTTTGGAGCCCTTTCAGTTTTGTTGCCCTCTTTTACAGGTTTACGCGTGCAACTGTTGTTTCCCCTTTGCTCTTTCGTTCCATGCCCGCTTTGATCCTCAGGGTCACGTTTGGGGTGTCTTTTGAGGGACCCCTTTTCGGCCGAGCGGCGCGAACCACAGAGAAACCCTGTTTGACTTCTAAACCACCAACCCAAGGCAGGGCCGCGCAAGACTCGCCTTTACCAGCTGATCCGAAGGATCCGCATCCTTGCAAAGCAGGTGGTTTCGCATGCAATGCTTTGAGGAAGCCTGTTTTGCGCCGGTTGAATTTTTGTTGGGTACCTGCAGAGGTCCAAGTACTCCCCCTTAGTGGTTTGAAGCATCACCTGTATGGCATTTGAGGCGAGTTGGTCGGGATGATGTTGTGGGAAGTATAGGAGGCTTTGACCTTGACTCTTGGTCAATCCCCTATTTGTCGCCTACTACCAAGTCTCCAGAAGAATCCAAACATCTTGAGATAGTTGTGGCCAGGGAGTAATGCCCCAAGAATATGGCGAGGCCTCGCTACCGATCAGGGTGTGCAACCGGTTTTAGAGGGGATCTTGATTCATGCATTCCCCTTGGTTGTTTTATCCAGGTCGACGTTAGTTGCGTGGGCTGGGCTTTTCGGAAGATTACCCCCCCCTCCCAGCCCCAAAGCCACACGATTTGATTTTACCCACCCAGCCCAGAAGATTCCAGCCCGAGGAGGTTTGGTCATAGCCCATTGCTGGACCCCCCAAACACACCGACTAGCAGGCACAACTTTTTGTTGTGCTTTTGGTGTTTGGGGCAGTTTCACGGTTTTCGATCTCTCCGAGTCATGTGAAGACTGGCTTGGTAAACAAGAATATTAGATTTCCTGGCCACCACACTCGCGAAGTAAGATCTGCACACACTAATTGATTCTCAGGCTGCTTGCTCTTTGTTGGATGGTTGAAAGGGAAGCCAGAAGAACTCCCCAAATTGTAGTTTCACCCGGAACCTCAAAAGTCCACACGGCAGGAGCCAAGACCTGAAAGAGTCTATGGTCGCCATTGAGAAGGCTCTCAAGGAGCTGAAAGCACAGGACTCGCTGGCGGCTTTGCGGGTCGGGTGAGGTGTCCGGGCGGTCGGTGCTGTGTTGTAGGCGTCTAAATTGGGTTGTGTGTGCTTTGGCTTCGGCGAAGTTTGGGGTTATTGGCCATTTGCACGGACTCTGGGTCTAGTCCTCGAGGATTTGGTCGGGCATTCCTTGGACGCTGGACGCCGGACGTTCAACCAACGGGCAACTGGGGTTAGTCCCCTTATCACTACGGATATCACCCTAGGAGGCTACGCAAGCCATGGATTTCAGGATGACCTTCTCAGGTGGTTGTCACCTAATTTCTGAGGGCTTGACCAAAGTACCTGGTTCTATGCTATCCGCAGGGAATTAATTGAGTGGCTTCAACACCGAAGAGGGTGGATCTGCCCAGTTGACCTGCGGCCCGTCGAGAGGACTACGACCGGCCGCAAGTGGCGAAGAGTCTGGTTCAGGCCTTCGGACGGGCGGAGCAGAGTCTCAGACTCTGGTCATGTTACGCCGTGTCTGGCGATATTACAGTCAGCAACTGGACGTTGTTTCCCTTCAACCTGCCACGTGGCATTGCTGGTAAAATAATTAGGCCAAAGGACATCGTTTTGGCAGGCAGACAAGGAGCCAGGCATACCTATACAATCCCAATTGAACGACTAGATAAAGAGCCCCAATCAGCCCCAACATCCGGACCTGGGTGTTCCAGTTGTTTTTCCCGTAAGATGTGGTGGTTGTTTTTTTTGTATACTTATTGCAGCGTCGCTTTGCAACTTTGGTTTGCATTTGCAACCGGCCCAAAGGTCGTTAGTCTCCCACCACCAGTTGTGAAAGTGCGCAAGGGCCCGTTTCCAAGAGTGAGTGTGAAACGTGCTTTCAGAAACTGCCAGAGTTGTTTGCCCAGATGGAGTTGGACTTCTGACCTTTTGACTTTTTTTCGTCGTGCTTGGTCAGTTAAGTCCATAGGGTTCCGCCTTTTGGTTTTTGGGTGTTTGGGAAAGCTGCCGAAAACTGTTTTTTTCTTTCCAGAGTCAACCTTTGCTTGGCTCAGGCCTGCTGACTCTTGCCTCCGAATCAGACCCCGTCATGGATTTAGGGCGCACCCCCCTCCGTTCGGGACCCGTGGTACTTTCTGGGCCCTCGTTTCTGTCAAGTGCCAAATGTTGCTTCCTTTCAAGGGACATTCCTTCATCAAATCAGTTCAGGATCCGGTGTTGGCAAAAGCATACTATTGCAAATGCTTGATTCCCAATGGCGCGAATTGATTTGACACGGCGATCTTACATTGGTGCAACGCCACCTCGCCCTGCTGATTTGATCAGTCAGCATGTGACTTCGTGCGGTCGGGAAGATAGAACGAACAGCGGCTGCTTTGGCCGGATTGCTTCGTTGTTGTTTGACCTGTTGATGTACAACAGTGAATACACTTGCAGGGCCACATCCAGGTGTCCTTTTTCAACGCCACGTCTGCTACTGCGCCAGGTGTATCGTTCTTCCTGGGCGGGTCACCCAGAAACACGGCGGTCGGGTCGGCCAGGTGCGCTCATTGACATCCCTCTCCAGCGCGGAGTGGGACTCTGTGGCCAAGGCCATTTGCGCACACCCCCTTTGAGGGTGTCTTGGGTCCCTTGAAGGGATGCATGCAAGCCAGCGAAAAAGTCATTTTTGACCAGCTGATTCAGAGGTCCCGGCTCTCCGAAGGTGTTCCTAATAATTCCCCTTTCTCAGCTTTCTGAAGATGCTACCTTTGAACTTTGGGGAAACAAAGGTAGGCAGTTATATGCATATATACTTATATAGGGAGCCATCATTGGAGGGACCCCTCTTAGGGGTTTTGTTTAAAGCGACACCAAAGAGAACCATGGATACTTGCGGGGTACACCATTTTGAGACCAGCCTATTTTTTTACGTTCCCTTCCGGTGATTGATGACATCATCCGTTGCTTGCCAGTTTGACATTTGTTTCCTTTCAGTGGTGTGATGTGATGCGTCAGGGGAGATTGTAGCGCACCCGTATGCGCCCGTTTTGGGAAACACCTTGTGTCGAATGAATTATCCTCGCGACTCCGCTAGGCGCTGGCGGTGACGGGCGCCTTCAGCGACAAGCCGAAGGCGGATGCCTATGAGTCTCCACCTGAGTTGGGTGATCTCACGTGCGCCGATGTTGGTGGGAATTTGGCTCTGAGGTTTCAGTCCTCCAAGGTTGTGGACACTTTAGAGACCCTGAGGCAGGGCTGGGCAAAATTGGGAGAAGAGGCTCCAGGCTTCGGCAATCAATAGACCCAGACTGCTCCGGAGGTGTTTGGCGGTCTCAAAACCAGGTTGTTTGCGGGTCCTAAATCAATCGGGAGTCTCTGGCTGAGCCAGAAGGAAGCTGTTTGTTTGAACCATGTTTTTTTTCCCGCTGGGCTTAATTAGCCCAAGCGAGACCCGCAGGGACCAGTTCGCCAACCAGAGTGCCGAAGTGGAGAAGGCAGAGGCAGCCAAGAAGCACAGCGCCTTGGGCAGGAACGGCAAAATGTCAATGGGCCTGGCATCTTTCGCTGCTCATGTTTGGCAGTTGTATCTTTTCTCTAAGGGTCCCACTAGCTTCTCAAACACTTTTGGCCCCTTGAAACTCTTCCAAGTCCATCCTTGAAAAGAGTCCAAGCGAACCCTTTGGGTTTGTCTGCAGCCCACCTTTCGAGAAGATGTTGGTCAAAGCATGTTCTGTACATTTTTAGGTCGCCCCAAAAGGCTCACCTTCCGTTGATTTTGGTAAAGGAACAAAGCACTAATCTGAGCACAGAGAAACTGGGGTTTACACGACCCATTTGTTTGAGTTCCATTTCAGCTATACATGTATGAAGGTGACCCCACCCCCATTGACCACCTGGGGTCTGAGTGTTTATAGAAAGTCTAGCCGGCAGAGCCAAGTTTGGAAGTTGGATGTTCGGCTTCAGGCAAGTGAGTGGGCTTGGCCAGATTTGCCCGTTTTAGGTATGGGGGGCACAAGGGTGTCGCAGGCTACAGATCTTGGGCTGGATGCACTTGCCACGGGGGGATGCTGGGGGCGGTGCTTGTGATTCCGTGAGCGTAGGCTTAACACATCTTCTTTGGACGTCTTTGATCGGACACTGACTTGCTACTTGGTCCTTGCCCTCAATGCTGAGGCTATGAGATGCTGAAGGGGAGCCTCTCGCACGAGATTGATACTTTGCAGCACTAAGCCAAGGGACTCAGTGGGCTAAGTGCCAACCTTGCGGTGCCCAAGGATACGTAACCTTTCCAGAGATTTGCTATGGAACGCTTCTTCGGATTAAGGCAAGCGACTGATCCATTTTGGGAAATCCCTTTGATGAACGTGGGCCCCTGGCCCAATCTGCATTAGGTGATGCAAGTGTACAACCACAAGTGGCATCAATTCAGCAAGATCTCCATGCTGTTCTTGCAATTCTTTGGGCTTTAGTCAGCAACAGGCTTACCTGTCTGGGCTTCCAACCGGAGAGATCAGCTTGAACCGCTTTAGCGCAGGAATTTATGGCAGCAGCGAAACTTCAGACCTCCGCAGTGGGACTTGAGATTGGGTTGCTCCTCCACGCACATACACATAACCTTTGCATACGTACTTGAACACATATTTGGTGAAGTAGGGCACTTGAATAACATATTTGATCCACTGATCCTTGCCCATGATTAAGTTTCTCAGGGTTTTACAGTACCTGGTGCCTGTTGACCTTCTATTTGTCCCACACGGTTTGTGATGATGTCTCCATTTTATCAAAGAGAGGGAGCTGTTTCGTTGGGCAGCTGACAGGGTCCAAAGCAAGCCGAGCACTTAGCTGAATGCATTAGCCAAACCGACGTAAAGTATCCTAGCGTGTCATCTCTGGGTTTGGAAAGCTTGCCAACCACACTTTTGTGGTGATTCATTTTTCGCGTGTCATATTCAGAGAATCCAATGCATGTTTAGTCTAAAAGGATGGCATTTGGGGCAAGCGACAGTCTTATATAGAATCTGCATGGTGCTGGGTATGACTCTAAACAAGATACAGGGGCTTGTTGCTTGAGACGTTTTTAGTTGTTCATTTTTAGGACTCGTCCGTGTGTGCGTACCCGGCCGGGCGCAGGACTTCCATCAAAAGGCCTCGGAGAAGAAGTCCGGCTTCAAGATGCTTGGGACGAAAGGGAAGTGGCGGGTCGGGACTCGTTGGGGTTTTCTTTGGGGCCAAAAAATCGGCAGGTACTGTGGATGGACAAAATTCATTTCGCACCGCCTAAGAAACCATGCGAAACATGTTTTGTTGGTATTTATGGGGAATCATCAAAAGCCAGGGCTTCTTAGGTGGTGCAGGAATTCGTCCATCCACAGTATCACCCACCCCTCTAATTGGTTTCTATCTTTTTTCGGGGTTCTTTTGCTCGAAAGCTTGCTGATTCTTAACGAATGGGGAATGGGGTGTTTGCTGGGTGCTTCGGAGGTTGAGTTCTACATTCCCTATCAAAAACAACCGTCGAAATCGGCTAGTTGCAAGACTGCCCTTTTTCCAAGGTGCTTTTGGCCATTTGCTACATGCCCCATGGTTGACCCATGACAACGGTCTGTGACCACTGATAAAGGACTGTCTTTGTAAAGGGGGTTTCTGGTGGATTCACCGAACTTTGGGAGCACAAACCTTTTGTTGAAATTGCCAGCTTTCTTTCCGGGTTGAGCGGCAAGAAGCCCAAGCACAACGATGCAGCCAACCAGGAGATGGATATCTACCCAATTCTCCCTTTGGTCCGGGCCCCGAAAAAGCAACTTCCCCAAGCACACCGCTTCCCTTGGTCTGTCTTCACGCTTGCTTCGGGGCGTCCGCCGAGGAACTCGGCTCTGGGCCGCAAGGCGGAGGCTGAGGCCAAGAAGACGGACGTGGAAGCGGACCTGGCGGCGGACCTGCGGCGCGGCAGCTTTCAGCGGAGGGGTAGAGAAGGGCACCTCCATTTGTCCTCATGTGCCCTTGTTTGAGCCATTTTGGGTACCAATTGACAGCCCTTGGAGGGGGCTGGTGCTTTTGGCCGTGGTATTTAAGAGAACTAACCCCAGACCATGCAAGTCTCATTCTGGCCATTCCCCATTTGAAACGGACAGGGTAAACTTGCTGCTTCTCAGAGAGTCGCGGTGGGCGGCGTTGGTTGAGGGAAGCCCTCCGTGGATGGATATCCACGTCAGGCAGCTGGGAGGGATGAATTTTGGGTCGAACCACCTGCTATGCAAGGCTTTGTCCATCTACTGTATTCCTCAAGGCCTTGGGAAAGGGTTGTGCTGCACTGTGAGTTTACCCAAACCACAGTTTCTGCAACTTGTGGGGATTCCTTCTACCGCATCGTTTCAGTGGCTTCCACCCTTGATGTTTATTTCTCTTTTGGGCAGGTCTCCTACATGGTCAACATTAAACAGGTGTCCTTTGTCCTACCAGGGATTCTGGCTGAACATTCGCCCACGCTTCATTTCGCGCGTTGCATGCTTCTCCCGGAAGGAAGTACACCAGCGACCTGGACACGGAGTGCAAGGTCAAGGCAAGCACCTCACCTGCCAACCGGGAACCTTACAGGGTCTTACTTGGCTGTAGCAAGGTAGTTTAGAAGGGGGCGATCCCAAACAGAATTCGGTGCACCCTCCTTTTGGCGGGGTTCACACGCTTTTCGGTAGATTCTCTCAATATCAGGCTTTGATTGCGACACACCTCTGCCAGAATCAACATTTGAGGCCTGTTAGACCCCCTGAGCATAGAATTGCGTGGGCACCTTACATTGGAGGCCAGTTATTCCATTTTTCATGCTCACCTGCATAGGCGGGCTTTCTGATTGAGGCTTTTTTTTTTGGTGATTTGAAAGGGAATTTACCCAGCCTCGTTTTCTTGTGGTTCCACCGTCTATCAACAAACCCAGTTGAAGGTTCGAGGGGACAGCCAACTAAGCGCTGGTACTTGTCCTTTCGATTATTGTCATTGGTCCTGGGTGGACTCCTTCGATTCGAAATCAGGTATTGATTCTGGCTCATTTGGCTTGCTGGGCTTATTGATGAGGTATCACAAGTTTATGACCTACGAACAAAGCGGCTTGACAACAAATCCGAGTCAGCCTCGCTTTCCAGTGGGAATCTTCGGGGTATGGGCTTTATGGGGAGAGATCATGTTTGCCCTCAGCTTTAGACCACAAGTTAAACCGTCGCAACATATTTCGTTGAGGGAACCGTGCTCGTGACAGTCGGGGTACTTGCTAGTTTGCAACACCTTTTGGTCAGCTTTAGAGGGAAGACAAGAAGAAGGTCACCCGCTGTTTTGGGCTTGATTCTCCCTATTTTTGGCACGTCTCCATGTGACGTGGCCGGGTTCCATGGCCTTTTTGGCGGGCAGTTCTTCAGCTCGCGCCCTTTGCGCGATGCGCGCGATGACTCCGCAGGCGTCGGACTTCGCAGAGCGGCAGCGTGTGCGGGGCGGGGAGGTCCAGGCCATCTCCCAGGCGCGTTTCGCGTTTCGCGGCGGTGAGCTCGGCGGCACTTTGGGTGGGCTGCAGACAAACCCACGGGACGGTGTGTGAGGTATGTGTCTTGAAATCGGGATTTGGGCGCCCAAAAAAAGATTGGTGGCATTTCTTTGGTTCAACAACTTTGCAAAGTGACCTGAAACAACGTGTACTGGGAAAAAACAAAGAGACAGCCAGATGGCTTCATATTGCATGGCTGGTCATTGGGGAGCAAACGGATTTGTCCATTAAGCTTGCATAAGGCGACCGACCTTTGCATCCTTGTTTGGGGGAAGAGCAACCAAGACGCCCTCCCTTGCGATCCTTTGAAATCCGTTGCTTCAGCCATAGAAACTTCAATTGATCTATGTGTGTGGAATGCAACTGTTTTTGAGTGGTATTTTGGCTGTAATCGATTACGAAGCGACTCAGTGGCCCAGTGCGTTCCTCCACCCTTTTTCACCCTGAGTGTTTGTTGTGTTCCCCTGAAATTTGCCAACCCCGAAAGTTGACCAGTTGTTTTTGTTTGGGCGGAGTAGAGGGACAGCATAAGACATGTAGAAGCCCTCTTTGGGGAGGGGGTGGGGGGGTGCGCTTTGATTTCACACAAAAGCACGAAGCGCCCAGTGGTCGGGGTTTCTTTTTTTGACGTTCGCGTGAGGTTTGATCATTGCGCGGTCAATATACGGCCTTTGGGAGGGTGAGACCAAAACGTCGACCACTAGAACGAGTTCAACAAACCCGGAACAATATACAGTATGCGGTTGTTTCGTTTGTTGAGGATTGTTATGGTTGTTCCAAAAGGGGAACCACTGCCAAAACACACATTTTCGGGAATATACATACTGAGTTGGGGCTGGGGCAGGGCCCCTGCAACCTGATAGGACCATCAAACACCACTTCTGTCCCCTTGGGTACCCATTTTTGTCACACCGCCAAATTTATCTTGCTCCAGCGGTACGCTATGTTCCTTCTATTGCCGGGATCCTATGAGAGGCCCTCGAGATCCTGCGCACCCCCGGCGCCTTGGTGCAGCGGTCCACTGGTACCTCGCTGGCGGCGCTGCGTATGGAAGGCGCGGGCAAAAGCGACTCGGCGGCGGAAAGAGGGCCGGGTGTCTTCGTATCATGGGATTCTTATATTAATATATATATATATATAATCCAATTTTGATTTTTGATCCCTTTTGGGCTGATTAATTTCAGCATGATTGTTCAAGCAATTTTACACTGCGATCCGCTTTTGCGTAGGGAGCCGTCCGCACTTCCGATTGGAGGCCGCCGTCGGGCTGCGCCGGAGGCGCTGAAGTTTCTGCAAGGCACGGCTCCGGGCGGTGAGAGTCCTCACTTGGCTGTGGGTCAAAACCAATGGTACCAATTTGGGGTAGGTGCACCACCCATTTCAAAACATCCGCCACTGGCCTGCTTTTTTTTTCGGGGTTTGAAAGCAAGACCTTGGTGAGCAAGGGTGGGCGGGCTACCCCAGTTGTCTCAAGACGTTTGAGCATTTGTTGGATTTCTTTGCTTGAGCCAGTCGCGGTCAAGGTCCCCGAAGGATAACCTCATAATATTTCCAGGTTCGATTGGGCACGTAAGGTGCCAATCTTTCCACTGAGGTAGCACCTGCGAGAGGCATTTGGAAGTCTGGGGCCTCGGAAATCGTCCATGAACTTTTGTGGATGCCCTTCTATCCACGTTGCCGTGAAACTTGCAGAAGGGAGGCCTTCGGACAAATTGCCGTGACTTGCGTTCCTGGCTTCAGGTGGTGGGAGTGGATCTTTGTAATTTGTGGTTGTGGTTGTCTTGCTGGGTGTCAAAGAAACCAACATCGCATGGATACAACCACGAACTCATTTGAGACCCCAAGTTTTTTTAGCACCGAGATGTGGTTGTCTTGCTAAGAAATCGCATGGACAAAAAACACGAGCTCATTTTAGTTATTCCCGTAGCTATTTGGCCTTTCAGTGTTTAGTGGTAGTTTCCATTTAACCCACTAAAAGTTAGTCATTTTTAGCGGGGTATCTGAGGGCAGCCCAGACTTGAAAAGTCCTTTGTCCGTCGCAGGCCGCGCAGAGGAGCTGAACAGCGCGTCCCTGCGCCGGCTGCTGGCGACTTTGCCCCTCCGTCGGGCAACGGATCCATCGGGACGTGGTCTTTTGATTTGTTGAGGGGGGGAGGGTTCGGCGAAGAGCTGAGACCCCAGGAAGGAGGAAAGAAGGAAAGCAGGAAATAATGGAGGGAAGGAGGGAGAAAGAGGTTTCACCCCTTCACATCCCTTTTGAAAAAGCAATGTTGACGGTGCTGATTTATTATTGGTTTCTTGGCACACCCAAATGCAAATTGGTTGTGCATACGGCACCAGTGGCCCCATACCTGTCATGCCACAACACGGTTTTGTGAAATCAAGCAGGGCCTATGACTGCTCAACAAACTTTGCATTGAGAGCCTTATCCACCTGTCTGTGTGTCAAACTCCACTTGTCTGCAAGCCGATCTCGAGAACTCAAACATCGGTTCCGTTAACAACAGCCAAGCCCATTCCAAAAACAAACCCGGCGGTCTTGAGGCAGAAGCAGCTGGCGCCAGATGCCACTGCAGCACCGCTGGAGAACTTGTCAACAATGCTCAAGGCCGCGAAGGGCTCGCTTCTGGAAAGGTGTTCAATTACAGTTGGGTGAAGGGAGATGGCACTCGTGGTGTAGGTTATCCTTTTTGATTTTAGCGGGTCAAGGGAGTATCTACTATGTATTACTTGAGTGTAATCAGTCTATGATTGGCGGCCAAGAAGAAAAGGCAGATTTTACCAAAAAGTCATAGGGGCATAGATCCGGTCCCTTTAACAGGAACATGGTCTTCCAGCATCCCCCTATCAGGTTCCATGTGAAAAGGGTGGGAGGGTATCAAAGGGGTTTGGTAGCCACCTCTCATGACGGCTTTGGTTGCATCAATCCCCACGGCAGGACCTGCTCCACAGGATGCAGACGGAGGATGTGGATGATGAAAGCCAGCAGGCTGCGGCATGCGCCCGTAGTGTTCTGACAAAATATGGGGTTGCTTTATTTTGCAGGGTCCCGAATGTAAGATGCTAATTGATTAGAATGGGATTGCGGGGCAAGTACCTTAAAACTTAAAGCCATATTTATAGTCATGATCATGAGGGAGCATGTGTGCAATTTGAGGGTCCTAAACAGTTATTACAATGTTAGGATCGTTTAACGGGAAACCAACAAGCGAACCACCTCTTTTGGCTCCAACTATTTTGCTACCCATAGCCAGTTGATGGGGACTAGGGTGAAACCCCCTGTTTAAGTGACCAAGTATGGCCCATGTTGGTATAACATATAGGGTGCACATGTTCTCTTATTCACAACCTGAAAATTAGGAGTTCCCAAGGAAGGAGCCTTCATCATGACCGAACAAGTGGTTGGTTTCTTCGTGGATGCCCTGTAAACTGCCGCCAAAGGGGAAAGAGCTCCCGAACGGACTCTACATTTACATGATTCTCATGTGATCTGGAACTTGGATGGGTGTTTCTTTTTCAGGGTGCAGTACCCTTTCGGGAGCTTCGCTACCCGGATTTGTTAGAACCCAATTTTGTCAAGAAACTTGGAAGGAGCGCTTCAATCGGCTGCAAAAACAGCTCCTTCGGCCGGTGGCGGCCGAATATGCCAGTCCCTGCGCCCTCGCTGGTCAGCAAACATACCAAACTCATTAATAGCTATGGCGTGCATAGTGGCGGCCAGCAACTTGGGTCGTTTCAATGAGGTCGGCGCGTGCCCGAGCTTTCGTTAAAAGCGGCGGCGTATTCAGTCCACAATTCTTGCACGAGTCAACTGCAACAGCTCCAGTGAAGATGCCAACGTCGACATCGCTCGTTGACTTGCGCCTGAGAGGGATGGCACAGCATGGATTGAACAGCTGTTAGCCTCCGTCGAGAAACAGCGCCATTCTCGAACTGGATACTGATCATTGGCAACTCGCCCGCTGGTCAGGCCTGGTGCAAAGACGAGCTAGCAGGCATTGGGATGTGTGCCGCCGGGAGTGGTGGAACGAGCCATGATTAAGCCACTTTGTGAAGTTCAAAAACACCTCCTTGGGACGTGACACAGGCTTCTCCACATATTTGCTTCGTTCAACATCATCCCACCAGAGAGAATCTCAATCAACGCTGGCCCAAAAGGTAACGTTTCGACCACCCAGAAACAGAACATAAGGACCGCTGTGACACCAGCCAAAGTCAGGGTGCCCTATGTTTGTTCTTTTTGGTGGTTACTTGTGACCATTTGAGTGATATTGAGTGTGCTTTTTCCCTGTTGCAAGCGTGCTTTGTGGGGTAGAAGGATGAGTTGAAACTGGGGGCAACATCTTCGCATCGGCTTCGAGGACGAGGCCAGATTGAATCTGGGGTCGGGTTTGAGAATGCCACAGGCATCCGCTTGAATAGGGGGGCCACAAGGTTTTCGCTGAAAGAAGTCAAGCAAAATTCCTTAGAATCCCAACCCTCCCGCAATCCACAAGCAAGTCAGTTGTAGGAAAAACACATGGGTCTGGGCAAGGATTGTAGGCGGCTTGGGAGGGTTTGCGCAGGGGTTGCCCTCTCACCGAAGAACTGGAAGTGCACGCGCACTGTCGGTGGGATGGTTAAACGCTGGTGTAGTTACTCGCATGTTCAACCAATTTAGTAAACAGGTTGCAAGGTTTAGCAGTTTAACCATGAGAACCATGTTGTTATTTTTTGTTCCGGGCGGGGGGTAACTGGGGTTAATCCCCTTGTCATGGCTGTCATGGTTACAAGCTGTTCACTTGCCGAGTGCCTTCCCCAGGTAACCTTACCATTGGGTGCTATTTGCGCGTTTGTATGTTGAAATGGGGGGCCCCCAAGGGTGGCGTTCCTTTGAATATGTGGGGCCTGCGCCTCGGTCCGACTGGCTCGAGGGCTTGCTTTCCGGCGAGGCAACGGCGAGACGAGGGAAACCAAGGGCGCAGAGGTGGAAAGCCTCCATGCGGAGATCGAGCGCCTCACGTTTCTCAGCTCGAACCGGACAGTCAGTCAGGTAGCTCTGAATTCGTGGTTTGGGGGGTTGAAGCCCTGGTTCTTGTTGAGGATAATCACGTTGGTTGGTGAAGATCCTTGACTTGGGCATCCCTCCTTGTAGAGTTTGCATTTCTCGTTGATTACTCCCAACTAAACTGGTTAGAAACCCATCCCCTATGAATCTCCCCCTGGCCGGAAGGTTATATAGACTTGATGCTATTCGGTCAGAAGCTAAGCAGACACTAAAACACTTACCTACTTAATATAAGCCGCACCAAAGACTAACGCTGATCTAACCTGTTCAAACATCGTTCTCTTGGTCACATACCATTTGCCATTGCTACCCTTTGTGAAGCCAGAGTCTAGGGGTGACTTCCCATTCTTTGGATCCTTTGCAGAACCATCAAACAACTGGGGAAACGGCTGGCTTTTGAGCAAGTGGACAAGACCCATGTTTTTAAGCGAGTTAATAACCCTAGAATGATGCGATCGCGGGACAAGGTCAGACTTTGCCAAGAGCACTGCCGCTGAAAGTTCGATTCCTTTGGGCTTACTCGCGTACCAGCGTTGCAATTTGTCAAGTGGAACGCCCAAACCACGGGATTGCCGAGGGTGTCCTTGGTGCAGCTGGCGGAAGAGAACGAGCAGCTGGCTTCCGCACTTCTGATGAACTTAGCAACGTTCGGCAGGTAGTTTACAGGTGGTTTGGAAGGCAGGACTCTGTGAGCTAGGCTACCTCGGTTGGGGAGAGGGTACATGATGTGTTGAAGAGGCGCCTGTGGAAAAAGACTCGAAGATATGGGGACGGCTTTGACCACCACGGCCTCATGACCCAGTGTTTGGCCTGGTTTGGTGCTCTCAAACCTTGGAATGCTAGCTGCAAGCCGAAAGCCGCGATTTTTGGCATGAACCGCGGGCATGAGCAGAAGCAACTTGGTAGAACCCCAAGGCACATGCCGAGAAGAGTGAAATGCTTTTGTAGACCTCCATGCAGCATGCCAGAGGGCTCGGAGTGGTTGTCAGGCACTGCCACCTTCCGCTTCTTACGGATTTCACCTGGTCTTTTCCGTGGGGGTTCCTTCTAGTACTCTTTTAGTACTCTTTCAAGATCCTGCAGGGGTGGTTCCACAAAAACTGCTTCCAAACCGTTTTCTGGACTTATAATGAGGGGATGCTGTTCATATGGCGTCGTCAGCGATGAATTCCCTTCAAATACATCCGAAGTGTTGGCCTTTTGGGTTTTCCCTTTTTCGCACCAGGAACGCGGTGTCACTTTTTGCAGCGGTGGAATCTGTTGACCCCCCCAAACTGGCCTGAGGATGTGACCAAGCTGGATCAGAGCATAGCAGAGGCTGGTTGGGACCGGGATGAGGATCGATCCAGCGAAAGTGGGAAGAATGGTGATTTCCCGCTCATGTTTGTTTCACTCAACGCCAAAAGGGTACAATATATATATATATATACAATATGATAGTTCAAAAGTGCGGGCCCCATGTTTTTGCTTCAAGTCGGTCACTAGGGTTGCTCTACCCCATGCGCTTTGCCAAGAGCTGCCATTCACACCATAGCCCGTGCAGTGATGTGAACCTGGGCAAAAGGCACCCTTTGCAAAGGGAGTGCTTCGCTGACCGGAAGAAATGGCGGCTTGCTTTTATAGTTGCTTCGGCTTAACGCTTTTCACACCTTGTATTTGATTGCAAGCGGGCAGCTCCGGTTTTCGGTCAGCTCAGCTAGGAAGTAAGTGCTGGCCATTCAAGTCTTAAGAGCACGGCCCGCATTGTGATTGGTACACGGGATCTTTGCTCCTAGAAGGCAAGAACAGAACAAACAACGAGATTCTGGATGCTGGTAGCCTTCCGGGTGCGGAATTCGCTTTAGCCAGATACCAGCTTGGCTGAATGCCAGCAGGCCCTCTCTCCACTGGGCGGTGTTCGAAAGCAATGCTGCGGTCCCATGATTGCCCAAGGAAACTTAATCATTGGCTCCTGTATTTGACACACTGGACTCATACATGGGCATGTGAACAAATATAATTCATATGTGTGAAAACATGGCACCGGTATGAAGCCTGAAGCCAACTCTGTAAAGAACCTCCCTTCGTCATTTCTTGGTTCCAATTTGGAACACGCTACCCCAGGGCCGTTGCGTGTTTTTGGCATGAGCCAGGCTGCCGCTATGCGCCAGGAGGAGTGTCTTGGCGAAGGTCCCCCTTGCTCTAGGTTTGGGACTTGCATTTTTTCAGATGGTGAGGGCTCGGTATTCCTTTAGAACTGCTCACATGACTACATTTGGCTTTAACGTGCCCTGCCTTCTAGTATCATTAGTTTGCCTACTTGGCTTTCCTGGCAAACTGCAAACTTGTCCTATTTTTCTGGCTGCTTCATTGTTTCGGTGAAGCGTCAGCAACCGTTTGACCTTTTCCGGCCAATCAGCTTCGCTCGTTGGTGAGGTGAATGGACCTACGTGTTGGTCCTTGGGACTAATGCTGTGGGAAAACAACCTTGCAAGCAAGCTGTACTAGAGAGTGTGCAGTTTGTTGCCTTATTTATGTACTCAACCATCGAGCTGTTCAAGCACCGGCCCTTGAGCATCTCGCTCTTGTTTTTGACTGGTTTTTGGCAAGTATGAAGGCCACTCGCACTGAGCAAGTTACCCCGCCCGGCTCTGTCGGCTTTCGCCCAGGAAGACTGCGAACCTCAAGAGCTTGCAAGAAGCACAGGAGGCCGCATGTCTGACCGAGCCATTGCCCCGCGTTTGGGGAGGAAATTAAACACAAAAATGCAACAGTTCAATTGAACCAACATAGTTCAAGGAAGTTTGTTCAGGTCAGGCAATTCTTTGGGAAGCAAATGTCGGCCTGGGGTCAGCCATAACCTGGTCACAGTACTGGGCCCTGGGCCGTTGACTCTCCTTGATGGCAACTTGGGGGTCCAATTGCCCTGGGGCATTTGTTTTTGTTCAAGTGTGTGTTGCACTTTGGGTTCAGAGTTCATTCCCTGGGATTTAACTACTTCAAGCTCCCACCTTCACACCTGCGTATTGTCAACAAAGTTTGTTCACCACTTTCAGCGTGGGAAATTCTTGCTGGTGCTCAGTAGGGAATGTGGGACTGAAACCGAAGAATTAAGGGAAGCCACCAGTTGGATGGTTTCTTGACGGGTCATTCCATTTCTCATTCCCTTGCAAAAAAGGGTATGGCGCTGTGGGCCCTTGAGGGTAAATGGGAAGGTCCGGGCCAAACCTATCGCACCAGCCTCGCTCGTGGCGATCGCTAGGGCAAGAAGGCGGTGGCTGCGGCCATCGAAGTGCTGGAGGACTTCTATCAGAACATGGGGGGCGCATTGGTGCAGCTCAGGCAGGGTGGGGTGTACAGTTGGGTCCAAGCAGATGCTTGGGGTGTATATATGTATATATATATATAAGGTTTAGGGTTCAGGGTTTGGTACATTTTCCTCAGTTTGATTTACTCATACGCTTTACCAGACCCACATAGAGGAATTGTGCCATTTACTATCATTTACTTGTTACCCTGCTGCAACCACGGATTGGAAACGCCCCTGGATGGACAGCCCACATCAGGTGGGTGATGTCACCATTGCCAGAAAAAGGTTGGGCACAAGTTGTCCGATTGCCTTGAAGCATGGTTCTGACCTACTTGCTGGTGTGGCTTGAACATCCTAGCTTGACAGGAACTTTCGGTGTTTCAGTTGTTTTGCTTTCAAACTGCGATCTTTGTGCTAAAGGTTCCTTATCATTAGTGGAGCACAAAATGCACAGTCAGACTTTGCCGGTTCCAAACGAGAGGTCGATCACTTGGAAAGCAGCCAGCTCCCAATAGGTGTCACCCACAAGGACTCGCACTGTGAATTGGCCCAATGTCCAAATGGAAAACATTTTCCCAGGCAACTCTCTTGCCTGTGCCTTCTGAGGGTAACTCGAGGCAATTGCCTGGATTGTTTCCTCGCGGTTCAAGAATCCAAAGCCGCACTCAGTCGTGACCCCTGGTTTTGCGCACTGCCTTTGCTTCAGCCGCAAGGGTTCCCTTCACCAAACACTCTCTTTGCCAGTTGCTACCCGGTCAATGCGCATTTGATCGCTGTCACTAGTTACTCAGTTGCTTCTTTTGAGTGGTTCCACACATCAAATATATGATGTTGGAGTTCTAGCGATTCTAGTGCTGCACATGAACACCAACACCTGATGTACACATATTGTTTGCCAAAGCCGCCATCCCTGCTTGGGCGCAACACTGGCCAAATCCGTTGCCAGGAAGGCCAGCTCCAAGGACCCTGCGTCGTTGTGTTTTTTCTTTTTTCTTCTTCTTCGCTTGGGTATTTATACCTTCTTTTCTCCTTTTCTCAGCCCCATCTGGCCTTGGGAGCTGCAGGTCGTCCGCCGGTCAGCTCGGCTCGATAGGGGAGTGCCTTGCGACAACTTAGAAGGCAGTAGTTCAATTCCAGCTGAGCTTCAAAGAGGTTGTTTTGAGTTTAACCCCCCTCAACAAGGGTTGTTTGGTAGTTTCCTTCTGGTTTCGCTCTGAAACCACCAAGCAAAACACAACTACTCAGCAATGGCGTGCTCGGTCGAGAGTATGGGGCCTGAATTGTGAGCGTTCCAACGGAAAACCAGAAACGAAAACACAAAGCTGTTCAACACTGGGACTGCTGCCTTCGGCTCTCCTAGTCAGCCCAGATGAGGCACACATCACCCACTTTGCGCCAGGTGAAACCCGGATTTAGCAAGCGATTTTCCTTTACGTGGATTGATTTTTAGGAGGAAGTTTTTGTTCAAACCGCTATATCACCCTTCAAGCAGTAATCAGTACACGCTGGTTAAGGTTTTCACTAAGCGGGATGCACAACATGCCTTTCCCGTTTCCGCCCAGAGGGCAGCTCGCGACATGGTGAAGGCAGATCAGGGGGACGCTGCATTCGGCATCATGGGGTTGTCCCAAGCAGCAACTTGGGGGCGCCATGTCCATGTGTCAGAGGAACAGAGCGAAAGAAGCCGAAGCACTGACCATAGGGATGTTTTGATGCTTAACCAACTTGGCAAGCAGGTGGTAACCAGGGTTGGCACGCGGACAGCTGCGCTTAGTCAATGGTTAGTCCCCTTCCAACCATTGCTTGAACACCCAAGTGCAGGATCAGTCGTGATCCACCTTCGGGGTCCTCAGGCACGTTGCTTGGCAAAGAGTTTTGAACAGGGATCAGCTCGGATCCCTTCCAGAAAAGCTGGAGAACCCGGTTTCCTCCCCGGCTTGACTTTGGCATTGGGATCAAGGCGTGAAACTGAGCATGTCCATGGAGCGTTTTGGAGGGCGTGAAAAATGGCAACACCAGGACAAGGCAGCTGTGATGAAGCCGGAGTTTGCCACAGGCTCGGCACTGAAAAAGCCTCCATGATACGGGGGAGGAAGGAGAGCGCCCTGAACATTTGGGCCATCGGAGGCCCCTTTTTGGAGTCCCACGTTTCGAGTACATGTGAACACAGATTCAGGCTGCGCGTTTGCTGAGTTTCTCGCAGTCCAAAGCTGACCTTTGGGTTTCTCGCAGTTCCGTGTCTGTCCTTAAGTCGGGGCCCTAACACTGAACCTTCGGAGTGCTGTTAGTCATTTGTAGGCGAGGCGTGACCCGCGCTCGACTGTAGGAACTTACGGCGACAGCGGCCAGAGTAGCATCATCGAAATGCTGCAGACGGTCCAAGCGGATTTTGCTCAGGAGGCCCGAATCGCCGTTCTAGGGAACGAACCGAAGGCCCCCCTACAACCTAGGAGATGTTCTTAGAACCTGCTTAAAAGGGTTTCTTGGAAGGGTTCTTAGAACATTTCTGCAGGGTAGTGGGCCGCCTATTGATTTGCCCTACGTTGCTTTCAGCACACCGATGCGGGCTTACACGTGCTGAAGGCACTTGACCAGGGGTTCCCCTATTTCGAGATTTTTGAAGAAAAGAGGATCGGTCAGCATTTCGAGTAGTGTGTGGTCGATTTTGGGCTTGGCTTCAGTTTGATAGGATATTCAACCTCTTTGCAGCCACTTTGCAAAGAGGGTAGGTACCCTGTTTTTTTTGGAAACTATATCAAAATATCTTAGAGTCGGCATTTCTTGCCGGGCATTGGTGTAGCAGCTGGACCCGCCCAATGGACACACGTCAGTGCTGTCAAGCCACGAAGCTCACACGCACACAACAATAGTGGTTCGAGTTCACCCTGGTCCGTTTTGCAGGCGGCATCCAGCCTCTCAAAAGATCCGATGCCGGTATTTGTGTTTTTTCTCCCGAAAGATGAAGCTGTTAGCTGGCAGTGGGCTCCCACACCGGGAAGTAGCCTCGCCAATTCCTAGGACGGTGAGAGGGTATACTGGTATACCTGGTATACTCTCAACTTCTGTTGCTTGCCATTGGGGACTTCTGCCTTGCTTTGCGGTTGTCCCGGCAAACCATCGGGAAGCCCGTCACCGAACATCTCACCCTCGCCCCGGGCTGCGCCCCTCGGCGCCGCCGGCACCGATTCCGCGCGCCGCGGGCCCAACGGCCTCCAGGCCATGGAACTGGAGGCCGCAGAGGCGGCGGCCAGCAAGGAGCACCGGGCCTTCATCTCCGACTCCAAAGCTGCGGCTCGGACTCGGGGAAACCCGGATCTTTCGAAGTCGTTTCTTGTTTTGTTTTTTTTCTCGTGGCCGGGGGGGGGGGGGTGGGTGGAGAAATTTGCGGGAGTGAACCTAAGAGAATGACCCATCTTGGGAGTGCTTGTTTGGTTTGTGGGGGTATCTTTTGGACAGTTGGGAGCCCGGGAATAATCCTTTGATTAAGTATGCGGTGAAACATCTTCAACTGCTTTATCTCCATAGTTAGTTACGATGCAATCACTCAACAAGTTGGATCAAGCCAAAAGCCGACAGGAGAGCATTCATCAGAGGTGTTTCTCACAATGGTGTACCCCTTTTGGTTGGTAGTTAACGGGACACTAAACAAAGCCAACAGTTTATGGCACGCCCTCAGACAATTGCACATACGTTCAATGGCTGGCACTCAGATGCTCTCGCGCCCTTCTGGCTTCTCAAAGCCGTACAGGTGCCAGTCAAGAGTGATCTTTGGAAGCTTGAGACTCTGTCTCCGCGTTCCGCGTTTGAAAGGGCTCTCCTGAAAAAATAACCCCCCAGTTACTACTCAGGGGTTCTTTGGAATAACTGGGGGGTTTATTAAACAGGGGTCAACATTAAGCTGGTGCTCTCCAAAAGGATTTGTCGCCGTTGTTTTTGTTCAGAAAGCTTCACTTTATGGGCATTTTCCAGAGCGTGCCGCCCACACCGATTCCCGCATCTCGATCTCCGCTTGTTGGCTGATGCTTGTGAGCTGCAGCAAGGTCGTTGGTTTACGGCGAGCAAGAAAGGGACAAATGGTTGAATATAGTTAGCTGCTTCTGTCGTGTGGACAACAATCAGTAGCAGACTTGGCTTTCCCCTGGATGGCTTTCCTGAACCATTGCTTCCTGAGGGCATGTATGGAGCATGCGTGCTACTGAAATCCGGGTGAAGGTGAGTACAATCAAAGGGTTTCTGCTTGGCCATTTGTCCCGCAGTGTGACAGGGCGTCCTTCCACCATGACCGTCACTATGGCTTTCTGGTTTGAAAAGAATGGCCCCTCCGTTTGATGCCAAACTTGTCCCAAAGGTCAACCCTATGTGGTCCTTCCTTGTTATGAGCCGAAGACCGGGATGGAGCCATGCATGAGAAGATTCTGGATGTTTCAGTTTGTGCGGCGTCTGAGAGGTTTCTTGCTTGGCCCCAAGTTGACTGTTTTGTTCCGAGGACAAAGCCAAGAAAGGCATCACCCAGCAGCACAACACCCAGCTCCTTGGCACAAAACCAGGTTAAAAGTTCACAGGCAGCTTGCCCACCAAAACGAGGGGCTTGGGCAAACTTTGTCAAGAGCTGCAGCTGTTTTCAAGAAAACTGGTGCGGATCATGGGAACCCATAGGCCAACCCCTTGAGAACACAAGGAGCCCCGATTCAAATCCAAACTGGCTGAAACCCCCAAACTATCAATCCAAACCGGCAATGGGAAGCCAGGATTAATGAGGGACCACCTGATTCAATACTTGCCTTGGGTTACGAAAGTTCTGTTAGGAGCATCTTTGCATAATTTGTCATTCCATGTTTCTTGCATCTCTTCAACTCGAAGACTCGAACCTCTCGCTAGGACGATCGCATCGCAGAAGAACTCCCTGGAGCAGAGAAAAAAGGATCTCGAGTCGACCCAGAAGCAGTTTATAGCTGCAAAGGATTACTATGAGGACCTGGGCTTACGGATTTCGTGCGGATTTCGCGGTTTGCGTGTTTCTCAAAATAGGGATCACTCAACATGGCTAATTGTCAAAACGGGGTCCATCATTTAGAGAAACATTTTTTCAATAGGGGCAATATTCAGCTACCGCACCGAACCAGCCGGAACGGACTTCTTGGCTGAGCTTCAGGAGGTGAGCCTTCCATTTTGAGGTGGTGAGGCCAGTGAGCACACAACAGTTGGCGCTTGCCTTGCTTTGCGGACTGCAACCACGCCGATCAGTGGTCTTGATGATTTAGCGAGGGGTTTGCGCGTTTCATCACACTGACTAGACTAGTGAATTCAGCTGGCAGGACGCAGGGATGAGGGCGCTTCTCAGTTTTCAATTGCCATTGACGATTACCCTGCCTTGTTTGGGGGCTGCCCCGCTTCGCTTACCCAGAATGTACTTGTCATTATATCATTCTGGGTTCACAGGTTGGGCATCTGTTGACAAAGCCCTGGCTATTGAACACCACTATTTATTGATGGACCCTGGTATACACCCATACAACGTCACTTAACTAGCCCACGCTTATTCTGAACTGACCATAGTCTTATTCAACCCCCTCATATCATCAGGACTTTTTACAGTCGTGTTTGCCAAAACTTTGCTTTTCTTGTTGACCGAGCTCGGTGCAAGGAGTTGAAGACGAAGTGCGTGAACTCGGGCACCCGGTTCGCGCAGGACTGGGACATGGTCCCCCAAGCCTCCCACAGCCCCGAAAGGGGTTTCCACTTTCAATATCTTCCATTTTTTTGTGAAAAACTCTCCCTTTACAACCCGCATCCAAGCGGGTGTCCATTGAATTCCAAGGTGACGTTCTAAGGGGAGATGAGCTTGCCCTTTTGTAACAATCCTGGGGTCTGCTCCAAAGCATTGTATAGTCGAGGGTAGACTAAGGCTTCCCCAAAGAACAAGTCGTCCTCCAAATCCCTCTTATTTTGCATGGTTGGAGGCGGAGGGTTGGCCAAATCCTCTTTTGCCTTCCTTGGTTCAACCCACCCACAGGAACGATGGCTGTCTTTTTAGAGGCCTCCCCGAATTTGTCTTTTGGATACTGAGGCTGCTAGGTTTTGCACATCCATTTGCTCCCATGCGACCCTAGGGTAGAACGTTGGCCCCTGACAAACGGAAACCCAACAAAAAGCTAAACATTTGTCTACCCCTTGTGCCTTGCTCATCTTTTACAGGCTCGGATGCGTATCCTGGCAACCGTGCATCACCCATGGAGCAAACTCACTGAACAATAGCCAACGAGGCGATGCCTACAACAAGGGAATGCTGCCCTATGGGTTGGTTTATCTAATGCAACCAATCACTGTTGAGATGGGAACCCCGCCATGAAGTTTGAAGCTTCTTTTGGATCTGTCTGGGACAGGGGCAGTTTTGAGCTTCTTTTTTTTTGTTCATCTGGTTTGGCCTTTTGGGTGAATTCCTTCGGGGCGGATGTTTGGGGAAAGCTTTGGGACTCCTGCGTGGGAAAGCCTGGCATTTCAAAACAGGCTCGCAAGAAGCGGGCCGAAGAGATCACCTCCTTGCAGAAGGCCGGGTTGCCGGTCCAAAAACACATGTTCCTTTTGGGGAGGGATTCAGAGTTGGGGTGTTGTGGCCATACAGAGTTGTTCATCGTCAATCCCAATGATCCCTATGTTATGACAAATGGGGGTTTCACTTGTTTTGATGGTGTGCCACTGCAGATTACGGAGTTGTGTTTGGGGGGATCCCTCCATCTTGAAGAATCAACGAGGAACACCTCCCCGCCGCCAACAGGAGATTACTTTGGGCAGACTCACGGGGTTTAAGATGGGACCATCCAAAACGGAAGGTCTCCGAGCAGGAGAGCAAGGCAAGCACAAGAGCGTAAAGTGCGGACAGTAAATGTGTCTCTTTATTGAGGCTGAGTACCTTGTTGGGGCTGGTTTCAATTGGGAACCAAAGGTCGACCAAGCAGTTTGGGAGGCTGCGGACAATCCCAAACGGGTATGTGTCAAAACAGGGGTGTGACATGCCAGAAATGGTGGCTTTCCTTTTGCTTTCCCTTTCAACCAAGCTTATACGCGTGTACCCTAAAACAATCACAAAGCACACAATCGCGCGCACACACACACACATGCACGGCCAAATTCCTTCTTTTTTTTGCATGGATACGTTTTGGTGTCACCGAATCGCCCCTTAGACCTTTTGGAAGCAAATGGCTTTCCTTTGAATGTACACAGTTGGTGATCGACCTTTTGCTAGGGCTGGAGCGCCAGGCTGTGGAGATCCTTAGCAACGTTGCTTAGGCTCGCAAAGAAGTCGCCGGGCTTTTGCGTGGGTTCGGATATGTCCCACGCAGTTCTCAAGTTCCTCTTGAACGGACTTGCTGCTTGAAATAACTGATCCACGCAGGATGTGATACCAGACGTTCATGGAAGTTCAGGTATTTTGCTTCAATTTTGGGTGGGATCCCGACCAGTCACCAATGAAGTCATCCTTCTCTTCTACATATGGCTTGCATTTTTGGTGGGATAGCAACCAATGGTTCGTAAATATGTTTACCAATGGGTTCCTCTTCCAAGTTGTTCAGTGAATTTCACCCTTGAATCCCCTTTTGGCTTGGCGGGTTCGGGATCCGCTGAAAAAGGGCGGTCACTAGGCCATTGGGTCTTGTGTTTCAAACTCCGAAAGTTTGATAGTGTTTGTTTTATGTTTGAGCATGTTTTTACCCAGTTGGCTTTCCGTTAGCTTTCAATCATGCATGCACTATCGCTGGGTTTGACTGAGCGAGCATTTTCACAGGCGTCTTGCTGGCAACACACTAACTGTTTGAGTCGATCATTCCTTTTTTGGCTTATGGTCGATGCGAGAGCTGTGAGCTTCGAACTTCCGCTTCCACTGCTACGGCTCCCAAGATGTAAGGAGTCCAAAAGTTTTAGGTTGGCGAAGGCGACTAGAAGAACAGGCCCAATTGAGAATGATTTCAAAGGGGGGCATCCAGGGATGTGACGGCGAAGAGTCCTGGAACGAGAACACCGTGAAGTACATTTGGCATTCTGGGCCAAACCTGCTGGAGGACCAATGTGATGAGGCTGCTGTGGCACTTTCGATTCCGGCCGACGAAGGCGTACAAAAAGGCGCGTAAGGATGCGCCAAACTGGATCCAATCAATCTTCAAAACAGACCCAGCAGGCAGTAGCCTAAATTTATGGCCCCGTTTTGACTTTGCCAACAACCTTTTCAAGCATGGCGTCCCCACGTTTGACACTCCCCACCCCCCAGAAGTCAGCCCGTCTGCCAATGCCAACCCCCTCTCCAACAATCATGGAAGACTGCCAGTTCTCCGAAAAGGACGGCAGCTCCACTTGGATTGCTGAATGAGGGTAGAGGCTTGTGGTTTGGAGATGCCCAGCCGCTGGCTGGCTATGGTATTTCTATAGGCCAAGGCAAGTAGCGCTTGAGCCACAATCAAGCACAGAAACAGGTTCGGGAATCCGCCCTTTGGCGATTTGTTCGTGGTTTTGTGATGTTTTGGGTACAAGCTCCGTGAAGATAGGCGATGTCAAGGGCGAACAACGCTTGGATTCGCGTCAGACAGGCCATCGGGTACAAGCAGGTTCAAGCCCCAACTGCAGCAAGTTAGGCTTTCCGCAAAGCCCTTCTTTTGACTTGAATAAGAAGCATGAAGGAAACCCCAAGGCCCAAGGTTTGCAGGGAATTGGCAGCTGTGCCCGGCGGGCGTTCGTTTTCACTGCAGCTTTGGAGAATTCGTCCGCAGCCCTTTGCAGCAACTGGTAACCTCGGAGCACAGGCTCCTTTGATCAAGAAGCTCAGCGGCACTTCAGCAGTTTCGTTGTGCAACGTGCAGCTGTTATATACTTAAAGCTAATCCTTAGGACCCCCCTGTACCCGCGCTTAGCCCTTCAAAAAGCCCGTAGGTTCTAAAACCTTCCTGGTGGGGGGTTCCCTAGGTTTTTCTTTGACAGCCAGCTGGTTGTTGACCTTTTGGTTTCCACTTTTTGCCCCCTGTGTGCCTATGACTTTGAGGATATGAGGTGCCCTTTTGTTTTAGGTGCTTTGGCTTAATCCCTGAGTTTCTGAACTTTAGTATGTTTCGCTTTGGACCATATGAGTAGCAAAGAAAGCGGATGGACTTTGTTGGCCCCAAACCACACAAGAGGCGAGTTAGAGTTCTGTCTAGTCATCGTTGTGAAACGTTGCAGGTCTTAAACCCATTTTTAGTGGCGCTATAGTCTTTTTGGTTTGTTGGGTTCAGTCAGCATGGTCATCCCCAGAAAAAAAACATGGGCAAATGGGCTTCAGTTCCTGCGAGCATACGGGTGTGCAATGAGCTGGGGCTGAAGAGCGAGTCGAGCCGGGCTGAAGCCCATGTTGCAACCTGTTGCGTTGCACTAGGCCCTGAACAATTGCCCCAATTCCTGTTTTTAGGTGGGACTTCACACGCCGTCAAGGCGGGCGCTTCTACCAGACCTTCGCAGCCAGTTACACCCAGCTGTTGCACCGCTCTGGGGTAATGCCCAAGGTGTAATCAACGAACGGCGTGCACGGAAACCTTTTGGCTCAAGAATCATCCCGACGTGCGGTCAGGGTGGTCCATTTGAAACTACCCTGGAGCCATGTAGGGGTTCGCCTTAAGGTGGTTCACTTAAAGGCTGCATTTGGGTCTGTAAACATGGCCTTTGGTGAGCAGCCAAAAGTAGATCTCGGCAAAAGCACCATGTTGAGTCTACCTTGGCACCCTGTTCAATCCACTGCCTTTCTCTTTCTCTACATCCCTCACCCGCTATCACATAGACACGGGCAATAAGAGATAGGATAGCGGGTGGATAAGAGAAGAGATGACATGATGAAGGCATCGGTTTCCAAGTTTCCAAGATAAAGCGTTGGGTGAATGCTAGACGTGTAAGGAGAGAGTTGTCGGTCATGAGACATATGATGGAGGAAGACATGGATTGGAGAGAAGCGAAAGGCAGGGTTATACCTCACACTCCCACCAAAAGGAAACTGGCTAGATGCAAGCAACGACAAGGGGCAAGAGATTTCGGCCTGTTGCCAGGTGAGGTGCAGCTCATTTTGGGTCTCCTAATGGAGGGACTGCAAAATGGTCCGTTCCCGTTTCCGTTTCTCTTAAGATTGGCCCCGAGCATCCTTCCTTTTGAAGCAGCCAACATTCTTGGGGCACTAACTGAAGACGAGACACCCCATTTGTTTGTTCTGCAGGCGATTTTCTTGTGTTTGAGGGTGTCCCGGGCACCGGGATTGTGTCATGTCCATGTCCCATTCTTCAGGAAATCCTTAGTTGGTGATGATTGGTAGTTTGGATTGGGATTTGAAGCGCTGGCTTTTTCAGACAGATGAGAAACCCCTCCTCAACCACTCAACCACCGGGCTCCAACCCACCAATTGGGGCTGAATTCACCCATGTGCGCAGGGAATGAGAGAGAACGCCGCACATACCGAGGAACCATGGCATTTCTCCAGACTTCCCCGATGGACTTTGCCTTGCTCGAGGACGGGGCTTGTGTCATGTTAGCGCATCGTTTCTCGGCCCAGGTCGCGTGTAAGCCTTGCGTGTTCAGCCCCTTTGGCGAGAATGAGGGAGCTAAACACCGCGAAGCAACCAGGATTATAAAATTATGGTTTTAACCTATAATGTGCCTGATTTGGGCTGAACTGCGTTTTGGTTGCAAAAGAGATCCATTGGCTTGGGTTGGCACAGTACCCCACCCTTTTGCCTGGGGTGTTCGATTGGACCCCGGCTTCCTCAAAAGTGAAAGATCAAAAGGAACAAGCAGTTTCAACTGGCGTTACAAGAGGGGAATTGCATGGACCTCCTCTTCCTGGGCCCATTGAAGTGACATCCCCAAAATGGCTATATTATCCTCTTAGCTGTGGATGCCGCAAGATTCATTCTGAGAACCGCCCGAAAACAAATCACTCAAGGGAGCATGGAGGGGGATATCCCCAATAAAGGGCCGTTGCCCATGGATATGAGCATTAGTTTGCTTGGGCCACCAAGGTGTGGGGACAGGAAAGCTTCAAGGATTGTCCTGAATTGAGCCACAATCACAACCCGGGCAAATGAATTCCTTGCACGGTTTTGGGTAGACTTCCTTTGCAGCATTTTTGATTATGACTCAAGTGAGTTAGGCATGGGTCCAGATCAAACCACCAGACAACCGCGGGTTAGAGCCCTTGGTTCCATTTACCAGGATATGATTCCAGGAACCTGTTGACCCTCAGGAGATGCTTGCTGCAGCCCACGAATGCTACGAGCGCAGCCGCCGCCGCGAGCGTCGTGAGCGTCGCCGTAGCTATGCCTTCCCACGTCGCTAATGGATGCTAGGCTAGCATGGTTGTTGTTGGGAAACATTTTACATTTTTGCTTATTGTGGTTTAGTGGGGAATCCCAACTTATTTGCTAAACAAATAAATTGTTGCTCCCCCTCCAGCGTCAACCAAGCTAAGGCGGAGCTGATTTGAGTTTCTTTATATAACAATATGCCAAACAAAGGCTTGAGTCGAGGCCGTCCCTGCAAGCTCTTGCAAAGATGAGGCAAGAAGGCTTGTCGACATTTTCTGCATGTGCGTTTGCGGAGCCTTATGCCAGATGTAACTATAGCGGTTTCCCAGTGGCATCCTACGGATTTCGGCTCAGGATTCGGGTTCCTGCGGTTTCCCTGCATGTTGAACTTCAGATGTTCTAGGGTTGGCAACCTTCGTTTGAACAAACCCCTGGTCCCCTTTTAAAGTAACCAGCGGTTCAATCATGTTTAAACAAACGGTTGTCCCAACCCTGCCGATGATGTCTAAGGAATTGACGTGGGAAGGCGATCTCGCTTTCAACATGACCCAGAATGAGTCTGGCAGCGTGGCTGAGTTTCTGTCTGCCCCAACACCCCCTCCCATCCCCACCCCCTTAAACATGCAGTTCCATTTATGGTGCCATTTTCCCTTTTATGAGGAAGACTAGATAAATGGAATTGGGGACCCCCCACCCCCATCCTCCTGAGGGTAGGGGGGATCCCCTCCCCTCGTTTCCTGCTCAATAGGGCCCTTTAGCGGGGGGTAGGGAGATTGGACCCAATAAAGAAGCATGCACGTCGCGAGCATGTTCTCGCACGGTGAGAGAAAGGCTTTGCCAACAAGCAAGTGTTAGATATGGCAGTGTATGTTTTTTGAGGGTAGTACCATAGGTACCCTTTTCAGTTTCAGGCTGGTTCAAAGGGAAACCAACAAAGACAACCCGCGCCACATCCAATATCCTGTTTGTCAACCACATCAGCACCTCCGCAAGCGACTTGACAGGTGGTTTTATAAGCGGATAGCCATGGTTTTGTAGCTGTCACAAGTGGGCCTAGTTCCTTCATCAAGCAGGTTATGCCCATGATGTAGAAGCGAATGAACCCGAGCTACCAAGCAGTTCTAAGCATTGTTTCAGCCAACTTGCTAAATGGGCCAAACAGGTTGAGCATTCGAGTAGTCTTGAATACGTTTTGTTTTTATTTGTTGTGTGTGTTGTCCTCCTGAAGTCCCGATTGCTGGTGTTTGTTTCAATTGCTTGTTTGGTACTCGTCAAGTAAGAATCGCATGGGAACCAGACATCCACAAAAAGGGGTTTAGGAGAATTGGATTGTTGCTGGTTGAGGGGTTTTCCCATTTACCCTTTACAAGAACTAGGGGTTCAAATCCCCAAACCATCAATCCAAACCACCAACCAAGGGTAACCTAAATAATTGTCCACGGGGTGAGGGGCTAACTTCCAAATCACCAACTAGTGACGAGTGGGAAACTGATGTTTGGCTAACCTCAAAAGATCCCCGCGAGCATCCAACAGACGCGACCCAGGCAACGCATCCGCATGCAATGCATTGCTGCGGCTGGCACCCAGCGCGTCGCAGGATGGGCAGGGAGCTCCAATTGAAATGCTGGGTCCATTACATAAAGTAAACAATTTCAGGAGTTCTACAACTTCAATTGTATCTCCATATTTTTCCCTTTTGAAAGCCTAGCAAGCGACAGCGGAAAAGCTTGTTTGTGCACTTCGTGTTTTGTGGGAGGATACATGGAGCCGTCACTGGGTCCGTAAGTGTGAACATTTCCCGGACTTTTCACCGTTACTTTTTTGGGGGGTAGTTTCCCTTCAAGCTGCATTGCGAGGATGTAGTGGGGCCTGGTTTGCTTGGCTATTCTTGTCATGTTTCTACATGTTGTATTTGTTTTCGCAGCAAAACTATGGTCGAAGGCTCCTCTTCTGGGACCTGTTTGTTTCGTGTGTTTGTTTCTTGAATGCTATGTGAACCTTTGACTTGTTTGGAACCTGTCTGTTTTCCAACTACAACCGGCAAGGAGTTATCTTTCATGTGCAGGCGTCGCCAAGTCTTTTACCACCTTCAAGGGAGTCGGCGTCAGAACAGGACCATGGTGTCAACCCATCCTGTTGCACTCCCAGCCATCAGCTGCCTAGTTCATTGCCATTTGGTGGTGCCAACAATTCCACCGATCATCAAGCCCCCTTGTTTGCATCACTTGCAGGTCTTGGGCGGATTGTTTGATTCGCGACGCCAGTCCTACTTGTGCCTTATTTCATGCTTGATCTAGGGGTGGCTTCGCCATGATGAGCAGAGTCTACAAAATTGCCCATATACTGCCTGCCAGTGCAGTGGGAGGATGCCACATGATGATGCTACTTTTCATTGTTTTGGCAAACCCATCCAACTTTTGCTGCTGTGATTCTAGCGCAGAGGTCCGTAGAACACAGATTCAGCAGCGCCTCAAAAAGACATGGCCATTTTGGACTTGGCTTCTTCTAGTTGGTTTAGCAGAGATTGGAGGCCAACATGCTACATAAACCTTCATACCCGGAGACAAAGCCGATGATTCCCTTGTTTAGCTGTGACCATCCTAGAGGAGGAAGAAGTCGATCGGTGTCGGGCCAGTGGTCGGTGGTGGTTTGTGTTGACAGGAAGAGCTCGACGAAGCCTTCCAGCGCGATGTGGTGGAGGCCGGGTGGAAAGCCAATGTCAGGCTGCCATACCCTCCCACCAGTGAACACATGGAACCGGTCGACGTTTCGGGGGGTCCTGGTTTGGACCATTTTCCTTTCAAAGGGACCCCTGGTCAGATTCCGTGAGAAGGGTGGGAGGGTAGTTGATTAAATTTCGCAGTGGAAGCCAGATGGATCAGGTGATCAATAGTTCCTGCCCCTTTATATGAAAGGAATTGCATCATTTGAAAAATAGGTCCAGCCCCTTTGTGTGAAAGGATTTAGTGGAGTCCTTGCTGGCTAAATGGGGCGGACATGCAGAATCCGGAGATATGTAACCGGCCTGGAACTGAAGCAACAGCCGGCTGGGCCAAACACTGCTAGCTCAGTTGCCATCCAAGTGCCAGGTGTGGAGCCGCGGCACCCGCAAGTTCACCAGCAACCCACGCCTGGTGGCATTGGTGGCTGCCTATGAGGACTCAATTTTAGTAGGTGCCGGCTGCCCGGCCTTTCGACACGGAGGCAGGTTTTGCTTTGTTTATGCGGTTGATGATGTGTTTGTTTCGAGTTTGGCTTGGGCGGTTGCTTCCTCAGTTACTTGTCGATTTGTGTGTGTGTGTTCTTTCTTTCGTTCTTTCTTTCTTCCTTTCTTTGATCCTTTCTTCTTTCGTTGGCCACGTGTTTGTTTGCTTCGGGCCTTCGCATCTCAACACTTTCAAATAGAACAAATCCCCAGACCCGATGCACCCCGTCACCGGCTGCGGCATCCGAATCGAAGCCCCAGGACATGCTCGGTGGCTCCGGAAAGCCGAGGCAAAAGCCCAGGCCGCCTGCCATGAGGGCCAGGGGTCTGAGAGGAAAGCCTGTTTGGTTAGGTTTTGAAACTGGGTTGCCGGTTCGGTTCGCGAGTGCCCTGAAAACCTTACATTCCAGCTGGGGCCAGTCAAAACACCACCTTTACCAGCCGATTTGGACCATTTTGCTTCTAAAGCAAGTCGGTTTTTGGATGTACCTTTTGAAGGACACTAAGCCCCACCTCTGGACCTGATGTAGGGGTGTCCACTTCCATTAACGGCTCCCTTCTTTGTACAATTCCCATGGTTTTCCTGGGCGGGTCACTGGCAAATTCATGCACAACCAGGGCCCCTGATGGTTTTCAAGCGTGCGGCGTGCCGCGCTTCCTCTTAAGACTCTCCTTTCAACGGAGGCGAAATGCAAAAGCAGCCAGCTCAAGTGAACCCGAGTGTTAGGACTATTTAACTGTCAAAATGGATAGACTAGCTGGCAGATGATGGAAGTTTAGATAAACCATGCTCTATCTGACCATATGTTTAGCAAATATAATGATTAAACAAATGTCTAACAGAGCCAGCTTTGCTCCAGCACAAAGCTAGCAGAAAGCGTCTTACACCGGCAGGCTGTTTTGTTAGTTTGGCATCTAGGTGCAGGAAAGTCAGCGCGGACCAAATGAACAACACATATTGCGAATGAGGTACGATCGATACTTGGGTGCGTGTCAAAATAGGAAGACTGCCAGAATGTTGGGGTTCCTTTGGGTTTAAAGCCGCCTGAACAGGGTACCAAAAAGCACGCACATATCCATTTGCTATGGTTTTCTGTGATACGTGTGGTTGTGGCAATATAGTTTTTGGAGTGTGTTTGGCCTTAGTCATGAGCATCAGTTTGCTTTCTGCAATGCTGTATTTGACTAGGTCCCCTGGTAGTGCCCTTTTACCCTTTTTCGGAAAAGGGTTCCCCTTCTAAAATAGACTACAGAAAAAAAAGGTACCCTTCTTCTAACCTCGCTACTGGAGGACACAGCCGTGCAGCATTTCTTCGTCGCTGAGTCTCAGGCGGTCCCAAAAGAGGCCCGGGAAGCTGCAGAAGCTGCACCAGCTGCTCCAATTCTTGCCACTCGGATCGGGGATCGAGCGCGTCCAAGTCTTCCAAAGCCACGGCTTTTTGGGATCAAAGCGAACCAAATGTGGTGCCATAGGTGGCCTTTTCGGTTGGTTTGGTGACCAAAAATGAAGGGGCTTAGCTGGTGCAATCATCTACCAGGGCCATCTATTTTCCAAAAAGGACACCTATGTTTGATGCTTTTTGTTGACTTCCCCACCTGACAGGTTTGGGGTTGCCTGATTTGAAGTGACATCCGATCGCCACATCCAGCCCGCCCCTGTGAGCAGGTAAATGTCTTAGGTGGGGATTGTTATTCGAAGTAAAGTAATTGGGGGTCTTTCTTGCAAATAACTTGTGGGGGCCGTTCTTTAACCCTTTCTGTGTGCGTGTGTCAAAATAACGTGGCCTGCAAAATGGTCGCATTCTTTTTGGTTCCCCTTTAACCCAAGCAAAGAAAGGGACCCCTCCGAAGAAGACAAACAACTGCACCCATATGGATATCTCGTGTGGTTCCAACCCCCCAAAAAAACGGCAATTTATATGGATATCAAGTGATGGGGTTCCACCCCCCGCGCAGATACACACACACACACACTCCCGGCCGCCAGCCAGGCCATTGGAACAGCGCCGGCGCTGCATCGCGGCGCTGCCCGAACATGTCCGCCGGTCGCTGGAAGGCGGGGGTAGCACCGACTCGCGGCTTCCGTGAACTCAATCCGGGGCTTCTCCAAAAGGATTTTGCATTTTACACTCCCTCAGACTAACATGGAAGCTCCCAGGCCTTTGTAAATGGATCCAGGTCTTCCAAAGGGGTCCCGCCAGCTTCCATGTTAGTCTGGGGGAGGGTGATTAGAGCAGGCGAAATATGAAATACATAATCATATATCATTTTGTTATGGCAAAACTGCTGGCCCCAGTGATTCCATGGACGTACAAAGGTGAGCAAGGGAACCATTGTTTTCGCGGAAAGCAAAGTATATGGTTACGGACCATACTGGTCACTAGGTTGTACTGGGACCGCTGCTCGCTCTTGACCTTGCTTGTGTTCCGGTTGTTGTTTTCATCCCGTGCGTCATGGGCGGTGGCTGATTTCCAGGTCCTTTGTTTGCAAGGGAGTGCAGCTAGTACCTTTTCCGGCATTTCATCTTAATGTTCACGAAAAATTAGATTCCATTGTGGGGAAAAAGCTGAGGCAGCACGGGGTCCTATATTTCATGCCCAACCTCAATCAACCGCATCCTTATGTCGGGGGCCGGGGGGGGGGCGGGGTCTTTCTGTACAATTGCCATGGTCGCCCAAATGAATTCAATTAAAGGCTGGGAATTGTCTAGGGATAATTGATTTCAATCGTGCAAAATGGAGAGCATGCATACCTCGCGCAGGCTGGATGCTTCAGCACGGCCCGCGACGTGAGCAGCGGGCAGCAGAGTACGCTGCGCACATTTGGCCCCGCGGCAACCTAGGAAACAGAGGGCCAGGGTGGGCCGGGGCGGGGTTCAGCGTGAGCTTGTGTTTCTCGGTGCCTTTTCCAGGCAAGTTTTTCTGGGAATCCAAGCTGAAACTGTCTCTTGTCTTTGGGGGTGTGTGCCCTATTTGGATACACAGTGGTTGTGGACTGGAGCCTGGGTGCTGAATAGCCCAATTTCTTCAATCACCCAGCGGGAAGCCAAAGCTGGACGGGGAGTTTTCGGACTTGTGCGAATTCCCAAGTCAACACTCAGTTTTTTGGGTGACCAACAAAAAGTTGCTCCCAACTATTGGGTCCTGATGCAAAAAACTGGTTTGAACCAATGGTCTTGATCCCAGCTTGATCCAAACATATGCTTCCAACTATTGGGTCCTGCTTTTCCCCAGACCCAGATGGCACCCGGAAGTGTTCAGCTCAGGTGCAGCGGATCTGCACCTTCCCGCCGCTTCGTGGCGGCGGTGCATTTGGGCCGGGGCCTGCACGTGCAGTCCGCCGAGTGCAAGGAGAGGATCTGGAGACTTTGCTATTGGCTTGGTTTTTTAGACCCCAAAAAAGCAGATATCCCTTACATGTGTTTCGCATTGTGTTGCTATTGTTTGAGGATAACCAATAAATATATCCCTCATATTCTTTGGACTTGTTTTTTTCCTTTTAACCTGCAAAAGTTAAACACTTTTGCTGGGGGATCTACCGCACCGAATAAAATGAATCAGTGTTTTTTGTTTCCACTCACCCGCTGGGTTGCTTGACTTTATGTTTTGTATTTTTGCCGAGACAATTTCAGTGGTAAATAACAAGTTTGGACCTTTTTGGGCCATTCCACTCAGGAAGTGATGTCAGGTAGGTGCTTGATTTGTGGTTGGGGATTTGAACCCTGGCCTTTGCGGAGGGTACATGGGAAACCTAACCTCCATATTTTTTTGGATTTGCTTGCGGGTTGCTAAGCCAACAGAAGCACTACAAGCTTTTGCCGGGTGCGGCGGGGTGGTTCCCCATTTAAGACTCGCCCATATATGAGTGCTTAATATTACAGTAGATCTGTTTGTTTGGACTGAAACATGTGTTGTCTTTCTCTGTTCATTTCATTCCCTAGCAGCGATGTAGAAGCAACAATTTGTTCGATTTGTGTGTCCATCCTCCAGCCCCCATGTTCTTTTCTGGACAACTTCGAAATGAACGAATTACAAAGAAAACATGGGCGCCCCTTGTTAATTGTTTCGCAACCGGGAGCTTTGGGCTTCTGAATCCACTCTTGGAAGGGAAGGGAGTACGTGTGTTGAGGAATACCTGTGGGAAACGCACAATTTCCAGGCTCGTCACTTGGAAGGCCGCCGGCCCGTGGGTTAGCTGTCAAGGTTCGGAGGGCTTCCCTACCAGGGCCAGTCACAATTTGGAGGGAGACAACGTTGTCCTCGGCAATCTTTCCAAGCTGAGCCCATGGCGAGACCAAAAAGCTAATAGACACTTGTTGTCCACCCATCTTGCGTTATTTTGATCATGTCAGTTGCACCTTGCAGTAAACAAATGTGGGAGTAAAGCAGTTGCTTGGATGTTCAACCCACGTCAGGTAAGTCGATCATTTTACTACGTTCGGAGGTTCCTCCGAGTTTCCCTGACGAGGCGTGGCGTTGGGGAGAACAAGTCGTGATTGTTCTGGGCGCTGCTCAAATTTATTGTGCAAGTAACATATATATATATATATATATATGCGAAAACGCAAACACATCTTTGACATTATTTCACATTTTGAGGCGTACTATAAATGATGTTATGCTTGTTTGGGGGAGACAAAGCTGAGGATTCAGCTGGGCTTCTGCTGGACGTTGATTGTGTTTCTTGAAATCGCATGCGCAACCTTTGCCAGGACTTGCCTTGTGCGGCCCGCGCGCTCTCCCAGATGCTGCGGTGGCGTGCTCGCTGCCGCTTCTGGGCTTGGGTTTTGAACGTGCGCGCGCATTTGGTTTGTCAAAGAGGATGTTAACTACCCAAACCTTTGCCTCTAGCAGAATCAGAGTACATAGCATTCTAGAATGGGGAAAAGTTGGTATTTACCTCATGTTTTCGCATGGGTAGTGGGTTGGGGGTAGTGAAAACACTCCTAACATCTGGGCAAATTATAAGAGCTCACCCAGTCAAACGAGCTTATCAAATTATCCACTACCGGGGGTTTCGCTTGTTTCCGATTTGATTTTTTTAGTAATTTGCCCAGATGATGTGTCCTGAGTTGGTTCGGTTGCGTTTTAAGGAGACATGATACATGTAAGGGCTTTAAGAATTATTGCCCCCTAACAATTGTAATTTGAGGGGGGGAGTACCCCAGTGAAATTTCATTTGTTGTTGCACTTTTGAGGGGGGTGGCTGTGAAACACGGAGGGGCCCAAAATAAGAATGTTCGAAGGGGGGGGACCCCGACCAAAACGGAGCCTGTAAGACCTGCAGTATCAGAGAAGCCTGTGTCGCTCTGCGACTTGCATCAAAATGCCTAGCTTGCTTGCGGTCACCCTCGCAGCCCCGCCATGGAGCCCACCAAGCCGTTCCTGTGGAAGAGATGTGTTCTTCGGGAGCTGCCAGTCAATTTCTGACCAAATAGTCAACGCTCAACAATACCAATAACCTACTTGCGTAACATGAACAAGAAGTATAGACACATATGCACCAAGTTGTTCAGTCATTTCACATGCTTGTCGATACGTATTCATGCGCGGCAACAGCATGTTGTTGCCTGCAAAATTGGTGCATTGGTTTGGCCCCAATTGTGTTTGCTCATGTTGAAATTGTTGCGCCCACCTAGTCATCAAGATAGCGATGGATAGCGAGAGAAAGAGTGAGAGAGAGAGAGAGAGGTTCAGTCTCCCTCTCCCCTTTTTGTGCGGTGGGTTTCCCACTCAAATGATAAGCCCCGCAGAGGGCTCCCTTTTTCTGCCGGGGGCACTTGCCACATTTGGGTTGTATATCAGAGAGGCACCTACCCCAAAAGCACGTGACTGAGCCACTCGAGGCTTGCGCAGCGGCAAGCGCCCCGCGGCCGAGATGAGCCGCCTGTCACAGGGAAGATGGGCATACTGTGGATGGACAACATCCTGCACCAGTTGATTGGTGGGTTGTCAAGTGTTGTAGGGTTTCATCCGCCCCAGCTCCTTCGGAACATGTTGTGCTCACACGAGTGTTTAATAGAGTGAGGAATGAAAATCCAAAATGGTGGCAGTCCCTTTTATATTCCCCACTTGAACCACCCCAACAGGCGTACCGCCGCAAATGACGCACCCAACTTCCGTGCTGTAAGCAATCAAGCTGAGACGAGCCGTTCGGCGGGCGATTTGTTTTGCATGGGTCCTCTTTGTGCAGGCGGCGCATGCACACGTGGCCTGCCCAAGGCGTGATGTAGCGGGCGCAAGGGGGGGGTTCCAAGGCGCCCACTTGCCATAGCTGGGGTCTCTTCGGAAACTATGTTCGATTTTGAGGCAGAATTACCCAACTCGGTCTCGGGAACAGCAAAAGCACATATTTTGAAGATTGTTCACACCTAGCCAGATAGCTGTGTGCTTTTGCGAGTGACTGGTCTACTTTCCCCAAAAGGGAAACGGTCAGCTCTACGACAGCCGTTGGAATGGAAGGGGCGTGGAGGGGGCATGATTGAAAAGCAAGTTTCATTTGGGCGAGTGGGGCTGGTGGATCCTTTTTTCGAGTGCCTTGGCATGGTGAGAACTCACCATATTGAATTAAGTGGAACATGTTGTGTCGATCTTCTAGGGCACTTCCATGTTGACACCGGCGGGGTTGTACCACTCCATTGTTTCTGCTCAGCCTGGTTAGTCAGCCTTCATGTCCCTTTCCCACCTGACTTTTGCGCCTCAAAGTAATGCTGTTGACGTATGCATTGGGTCGGCGTGAGGCTTCGGGCTTGTTTCGACTTGCGACTTGCAGCCAGAAGGAGTTCTGGTAGATGAATCTGTTCTCCGACTGCCGAGCCTACAGACGCAAATGACCTTGTTGCTCAGGAGCAATCCTTTTTGCAAAGTGCTTCTGTTTGAGTTAGTTTCTCACAGGCCAATGGATAACGGAAAATTAAAAGATACCACAAGAGGCACCCTGTTCTGTGCGGTTTGCACGCCGATATTGCACACATTGCTTAGCTAGTTTTTGCGCCTTCGGCGAAGATTTCTCAGGGGAACAAGGACGAAAGTTTGAGTTCCACGTCCTGCCCAAATCGGGACCCTTTAGCAGTGCTCGTCTTCCTTGAAGGTTATGGTTGTTTTGGTGTCAGTCATTTCTGCATGCGACCTATATACAACCGGCTTCCTGTAACAACAGATCGAAAGCAACAACGCGCAAACACACATACGTAGTAATGTTGACCCCGGATTAATAAACCCCAGTCTATTAATATGGGGGTGTTCCCCTCCAAAAGTGCTAAATCCCCCTAAAACCAGGGACACCCGCATCAGGGGTTTATTAATCCGGGGTTACCACTTGGACTTGGGGCTCATGGGCTCCTCGTCTTACGGGCTCCAGGGATATCCGCACAGGAAGCCGCTGAGTTCGCGCGCGGGGTTGTGGAGGCTGGGTGGGTGGGGGAAGGGGGCCCTACAACGGGTTCGAATGAGCGCTTTCTATCGCCACAGGGCCGTGGTGCAATTCACGTAGCATAGAACCCATAGGAGCCGAATGGAACCCATTTTTAACATGGGACAGAGGTCTGAGGGATTGCTTTCGAGAGCAGACCCTTGGCGGGTTCTACTTGGTTGAATTGAGGTTACCGAGATCCGAGCCTTTGAACAATCTTGGTAGTTCAAACGACGCGTTACATTGCTGTTTCGTGAGAAGCCGTGCGTTTTGTCTTGGGCGTTTTGTCTCGAGCATTTCCTGCGCAAACAATGTTAGTAGCCAAAGCTCAGCCGACACCTTTTGGTGTCAACAGCGTTCCCACTGGAAATGCACAAGAAGCCTTGGAAAGGCAAGTCACCTGCCAACGACCGGGAGCCTAAGCCCTAAATAAAGCCCTGAATCAGCGGAGAAAAAGTAAGGCCATGGGCCAGAGGGGCCCTCCCAGGTGTTAGGGACGTTTGTTTTCCCTTTGATTTGAGTACTACCCGGCAGGATCGAAAGGGTTGTTATTGCTTCATGTTGCTTCCTCCCATAGAGGAATTCTAAAATTTAGGTGTCCGAAAGCTGAGGATGTCTTGAATCCCTGGAGCCAGTCAACAAATCACCCAAATACCAGCTGATTTTCGGGGTCCGGATTGGGAAGTTGGCACAATTTCCTCCCATGATTTGGTCATCCACTTGCCCATGGGAGATGTGCTACCGTTCATCCTCAAACCTTGTGTTCCGCACGGACTTTTCTTCCCATCGAGGCCCAGCCAGCTGACTCCAAGCTCTTCCTGCGGGCGCGCTTGAGGTTGTCAGGGCAAAGGCGGGGTTGGACTCTGGGCACTTGATTTGACCGGGTTAGCCCTTTTTGGTGGTTTTAAACATCGCCTTTTTGGCCCATGAAAGCTGAGTGTCCTTTGGTGGGGGTGATGTTGTCAGGGAAAATATAGGGAGCCTGAAAAGCCAATGTTGTTGTTGTTTGCGGTCTTTGGGCCCCTCTGTGGATGCACGAAATCCATTTCGCACCACTTTGAAGTTATTTGTGCGAAAATGATAATTCCAGGGTTGCTCAGGTGGTGCCGGATTTTGTCCATCCACATGTCACCTTTGGGTTGGTTTAACATCACCTCTTGGGCCAGTTTCAAGTGAGTGTTGGTTGGTGGGGTGATCTTTAAGAGAGGACAGGTGTTTTCAAACAGTTACCACAAGGGGATGGACAGTTGTTTCCCCAAGACATGCCAGTCGGAATCACAGCTAAGTGCCTCAGCCACTCGGACTCGAGAATGGAGTTAGCTTGTTCTCACTTCCTGAGTTCCTAGGCTTGTTTCTTGTTGGGGGCTACTTTTTTAGCGGAAACACGCAGTTTGAACTTGCTTTTGCCAAGCTACTCAGGAACGACGTGTTCGGAAGCCAACAGCGCGCTGAATGTGTGTTCCTGGGCCATGGGCCCATCGAGTTTGCAGGATATCTTCAACTTGGATGACTGGGGGGAAATGGAGGGCGCGTGTGAGCGCGCTTGTTGTAAGAGAACCCTTTGGTTGGATTGAAATGGACACCAAAAGAAGAATCCAATTTTGGGGGTGCCCTAAATTCAATGAGTAAATTCAATGAGCAACAGACCCGGGCCTGAAGAGTGCGGAACGGAGTGTGTTCGGATAAAGGCCTGCCTGCTCGAGTCAGCTTTGTTGTCCAGCTTCTAAGAAACCAAAAAGGGTGGACATTCCACAGCAAGTTAGCCCAAACTCTAGTAGTTTGTGGGTAGAAATGGGCAACTTCCTGCAGACTTTCTCTGGAGCTAGTTTCGGTGCTTTTGTCAAAAGGACATCAAGACTGGGGATCCCTAATTTTGAGACCCTTGTTTAGAACCTTGGAGCCCTGAATGTAAACATTCCAACAGTGTTTGTCCTGGTGTCGGTTTCCTCAGCTGGAGCCCCTTTTTGCATGAAGGGCAAGACACCAAACGGTGAAAAGACGCGAATCGGTTTGCACTCGAACTCGGCAATTTATTCGCAGGCTGTCGAGTCCTTTGCGTGCTGATGCGGCCTCTGCCATGATGGATTGGCTCCAGATGGGTTGCCACAGGGGCGACTGTGACAGCGGTTCAGTGATTCGCTTTTGGGTTGGTTCCAGTCCAACTGAATTGGGGGCCAAAGGGAGAGCACCCATTTTAGGGGTTAGAGACAAACCCAGTTAGAAAGACAGCGCAATGAGCTTTCAGCATATTTCAGCGTCAGGTGCAACGCAGGTCCAACGAACTCAAGCCTTCTCGCAGCTTCACTCGGAAGCAACACAGCACCATCACATGCCATCGTTTGCAGAGGAATCTCCTGGTGGATAGTTTTTGTTACAAACCCTTCATTTTAGATATGCGGTTCAAAAGAGAAACAGCCTGTTTTGAGGGTTTCCCTTTTTTGAGACACCCCGTTGGCTTCCAAATGGGTCTGGACGACTTGAGCCACCAGTGTTATGCGTAGAAAAAGTCCGATGGCTAGCATCCTAGCCCTGCAGAGGTCCTGCCCGAACCGGTGCTAGACTTGGGTAGGACATATGGCCCCTGTTTGTAGGTAAGGAGCATCCTGTCCGCCAGCAACAACGTGTTCTTGCAAGGCAGCTTCAGGAGGTTGGGACTTCCATGCCGAGTTCGAACAAGTGTCCTTGCCCCTCAATTCAATGAGCATGCTACTAGCAGGCGTTAGCGGAGGCACGTTGTCATCATCAGGAGGTAATCCATCCCTAGAAATAAATTATCGCTAAGAATCATGTTAGGGGGATTCCGTCCAAATTTTCCCTTGATTCGGCCCCAAAACAGTGGCGCGACTCGTGTCTTAGGCGAATCCCTGCACCCGGGCGGAAGGGCGTGCCCTTCTCCCGAGCTGGTCACGGGCTCAGCTTGGGTGGATCGATCCCCACATTTCTGCGGCGGAGTGCTGTTTGGAAAGACCATGATTTTAGTGGTAAACAGACAGCGTCGACGGGTTTAAGAGAGGAATTCCGCAGGGTCTCGAAGCACATGTTGATCAATTCGCCTGGTTGGCCTTTTGAAAAGCAAGCCACCAGGAAGACTGAAACCGCTCGTACATTTTGGGAGCGGCGATGTTGACCTCATCTTCTCGTATTGTCCAAAAAACCAGGGAAGAGGCCAGCCCCAACACGGTGCAAAGCCCAGGAACTAGAGAGGGAACATATCCCAAAGGAAGTCCAGAAAAGGACACCTCAGGGCCCCGACTGAATGGAAGGGTCGCAAGCCCCAAAACAAAACGGGGCCCTGTCCCATAGATTTTCCCATTTGGGGGGCGGGGCTTGGGTTGCCGCACACTCGAGCCGAGGCGACTCATCGTTGGGTACAGACTTGCCATGCCTGGGCCAAGATTTGGAAGAAGCGCGGACGGCACCCAGCCGCACGGCGGCATGACGCTATCCAGATCAACACGGTTTTGGTATCCTGTGAAATGTGCTTTCTCACCTTGACGCTTGCTGGGTTCCGTGCAATTTCATCCAAGAGACTATTTGGAGGGCTTGACTCCTAGCTCGCACACCCTGCATTATCAACTGGTTTGCCCCCTGGCCCGGGCGAACCGTGCTCTCAGCACTTCAGACGAAACCCGGTGATCTGGGTGTTGGGATTATGGGCAAGTTCCCCAGAGTGTAATCCCAGTGTAAGAGAAAAATCCTGGGACAACCCGCACGGAAGCGCAGCGAGTCATCTAGCGTCCGGTGTTGCGGGAACGGGTCCCCTAGCGCAGGCAAAGGGTTGGTCACAAGCTTTAGCATCTACGCAAAAGCAGCACCTGAGTTTGCTGGAATCCCAACAGACTGCCTTCAGTGGCCTTGTTGCAGGGTGCTTTCAACCACCATCCTAAAGCGAACCGCACCGGGATGTGCTTCCAATCGCTATTCAATACCTGCTACTCACTAGCCTGCACTACTCCTGCCATCCTTGCCACTCTTTGTGCCGCAGCCTGGCCTTCCGAGGACACAGTTCAGAAGCAGCTTTCCGCACTGCAGGCCAGAGATGGGAGCACTGCGCGTCATGGGTATTTGATTCCATGTCCTTTGTTTGACAGAAGCCCAGGATGAATGCGCCACTGGTTGACCACTGGAGGGTGTCCAATTTAGGAGTGCCAGGTAGGTAGGTTACCATGATGGTTAGGTTCGTCGGTTCGGCCGGTGCCATGGATGGCTGCGGGGCCCAAGGAAGTTCAGGACCTACACCAAGTGATCCAAGGATTTGATTGGCACGGCGTGTACGAGTTTGGAATACGTGGAACTGGATTTCAATAGGGAAGCCCTGACAAGTGGTTGGTGGACACCAAATCCCATGGACCCCCAGGTAAATCACATCCACCAGTTGGTTCCCCACCTAAAACTCACACGTCCCCCCCCCATGCGAATCGGGCCTATGCATCGCCGCCTCCAGGCTCAGTGGCGGGGGGTCTTGCAGAGATTCCTGCGGCAGCGGCAGCGGGCTCTCAGGACCCACGTCTCGACGCGAGTTCTCGAGTTCCGGCGCGCGAGTCACTTGTGACATTTATGTGGAGGTCTGACATTCATGGTCCCCGGGCTTGGCCATGTCTAGACTGGTTTGCCATGAGGGTCTCAGGATCTTTCTATGCTTGAGCCATTGTCATGGGTCTTCATTCTTAATACTCTTGGAGCAGAATCTGAAGATATTGTTTGTGCACTCGAGGTGTGGGCTAAGCTTTGGTGGTAAAACAGGAACTTTGGACTTTTTGCCCCTCGTGGCAGATGGAAGGAGTTGGCCTGAAAGGCAGGTGTGTGGATCCCGGAAAGGTGGAACCAGACGGTTCCCTGGTCTTGAAAGGTAGTCGATATCCGGACGTTCCTCGACATGAGGTAAGTAGGGTAACCAGGTGATAGATAGTGCCCACTTGCCCCGGCTAGCACGGTTGTATTGTAGCTTACCAAGTGGGTTGGTCCCACAAGTCTGCTTCTGTCATCCCTTTTGGGACCTTCGGGAAACACCAAAAGGACCAAACCCTTGAATAACCCAAGCTGGCCAGCAAGCAAATGATCATAGGACTTGAACCCGCGCCAGCGCTCGGGCAAGGAAGCTTCAGCCCTTCTTGCGGGAGGCAGGGGAAGTTGTTGCTTGAAGAGGAAAGGCAAGTGGGGCTGACCTTTCTGCAGACCAAAAAAACGTCAGTGGGTTTGTGTGTGTGTTTGTGTTTCTGAGGCTACCCTGTTCAGCTTGGCTGAAAGGGAAATGAGAAGGAGGGAACCCATTTTAGGAATCTCCCCCCATATTGGCACATACTCAAGTCCTTGTTCAGAAGAGCGCGGAGACGGCCGTTTTATGCCGAGCGGCATTGGCATTTGAGAACCGATATCCAGCCAGCGCAGTGCAAGCCCGCGAGACAGAAAGAACAGAGTTCTCATTGGTTCTTTTTGGGTGGTTTAAAGTTGATTGGGCCAATGGCAGCAAACGGGGAAGTTACACTCGCTCAAGCAGGTTTGAGCAGTCAACTTGGGGTATGGAACCAGCCTTCGGCGAAAATTGGAAACGGCGTCCAACAGAGACGCGGACCTTCCCGTGTTTTCCTTTGGGGCATTGAAAATTGGGTTTGCCTCTCTAAATGGGGTATGGGAACCGCCGGAATGTGGTGTCCCTTTGGTTTGTGTTGTTTAGGGGGTCTCCTTTTGACTGGTTTCAACGGGACTCCGACAGGAAACCAACCGACACAGGGCCTCGTTGGCCAAAAAGACCCGGCAGGCCTGCGGCGCTGAGCTGGCAGTGGGCCAAGTGGCTTGAAGCTGCCGGATCTTTCCGGAGCCTCGCCACGGCCATGCCGAGCCCGGCACAGGCGCTTGCCACGGACATGGCAGTGTTGCCCCTGGCGTTTCGCCCATGCTCTGTGACTTGTTGGGGTTTTCCTGGTAAGATGTCCCCAAACGAAACAAGAACAGGATGCGCAAGAGTTGCTTGCTGACCACTCGTTTCACCTTACTCAGCGTCATGGATTGCGATAATCGGGCGACCCAGGGTACACCTGCCGACTGCCACTCATGTCAGCTGCGGACACGATGAATATTGACCCGCTGGTGAGGTGCGGAGCCACGCCGCTCTCACCCACTCTTGGTGGTGGGTTGGGGGGGTTCTTACAATGTAGCCAGTGGGTTCGGTGTGTTCTTTGAAAGCTAGTCCATGGGACATACAATTACCCAGACGGTCCAAGAACCTGTGAGGGTTTTCTCAGGTTAAAAGGGTTCAAGTGCCTTGGTGGAATTTATATACTTGGACCCTTAAGCCCCATGCACCAGCTCATGCCGTCGCGGCCGAACATGTGCCTGCCAAAAGTGGGAGCAAATGTGCACAGGATGGGCGCCCGTACGCGAGCCGTTGCCAAAAGATTCGCCGCACTGCGCATGGTCAATGAGTCAATGAATCACACCTCTTTGGGGGACCCGGCAACACACAACAAACCATTGGGGAGGGCAAACCTAGACGAAGACTGAACGTGTGGTTGGAGCACCCCTCTTTCGCCCAGGAACTAAGTTTTCCAAGAGGGGCTCGCGGGCTTCTATGCTGGTACATGCTGGTGAAAGGGTAGAGCTGTTACCCCAATATGAATTGACAGACCCTGGCTGTGCGGCTTCTGCGGCGGCTCGTCGCTCTCTCGCAGGGCTCCACCTGTCCGAACCTCAAGTCATAGTGACGTAGGGCGTCTAGCGAAGCCCTGGACCAGATCTAACCCGTTCGCGTGCCAGTTGATAAAAAGACGAGCCTTGCTGCCTTGGGAAGTGTCACTTGTCACGTGCTTGGCCTTCATGAGTGAGACTCCGTCATGCTGCTCACATCCACATGGTCCAGCCTAGAGGCTTTGTTGTGTTTACACTTCCCATCGTTTTCGCTGGTTTGTAAGGGGGCAAGGATGTGTAGCAGGTTGTCAAACCAGTTCTGGCCCCGAATTACCCAGCGAATAGGGGGCCTGAGGACTGTCAGAAACCGCTTAGTGCGTGTTATTATTAATTATTATCATTTCTATTATTTCTATTATGTTATTGTTTTTTTCCATGTTTTTTGTATTGGATCAAAGGGGGGGCTTTGAGGGCGCTTCCTGCAGGAAGAGGAGGACGAGGAAGCGGAGGCCCAGCTGCCTGGGAAAACTTGAGAGCCATGCCGAAGCTGTTGCCATGGGACCTGTGGACAGAATCCTCGGCACCACCTAAGAAACCATGGTGTAAAGCGTCGTTCGTTGGTACAGGGGATCAAAATTCAACAGCCAGGGTGTCTTAGGTGCAGGATTTGGATTTTGTCCATCCACAGTAAGAGCCCCAAGGAATGCCTGGGTTGAAGCGTACAGGACATTGCCAGCCAGGTACGGCAAGTTGATTCATTCGTGAATGCCAGGGATGGTTCTTTGGGATCTTTGAAAATAGTTTTGAATCTTAAATCTTTAGGTTCAATACATAGGCTCATGTGTGCCTTCAATAAGGTGCCGCAGGCGAATGAGGACGAGGACGACTTGGAGCGGCAGATGGCGAATCTGCGGGAGGAGGTGGGCCAGAGTTTCCTGGGCTTTTCCATGTGCAGGTGCAGATGTGCAATTCACTGACAGCCTTTTCCTTTTTGGGTAGGTTCCGCACAAAAAATGAGCAACCCTACGCTTGCAGCAGTTGCACTGTCCACTGCTTATGGAAACGCCCTGGCTGGCTTTCAGAGACTAAGTGACGAGGGAACGGATGGCCAATTTTGGTGTCCAAGCACTAGCCGTTTGCATGCACGTTTGTTTGCTCATGTGTCGGCAATGGGTCGGTAGCTTCCGAAATAATTCAAATCTGGGGGTCTTGGGTCTTATGGTCCCCTAGTCTCTTCCAGGCTTCTGGACTTTCAAGCATAAGACCTTGTTAATCGTAAGCCAAAAGTACAGGGACTTCTCCTGATCAATCCACTCACACAGTGAGTCTAGATTTTGTTCATGTGCAATCGAGGTTTTTTCCGCACCAGGGTTGCTGCGAGCCTCCGAATAATGATGAAACTACAAGGGCAGAGATTTGGTTAGGCTTTTACTGGATTCCGTTTTTGAGGAGCCAATTGTCTATCGTCAGGGTTCCTGCAAGGACAACTACACCAAAACCAACCCAGGATTGAGATCTGAATCATCTAGTGAAAGCGGCCCAATGCATCCTTTGAGGGATTCTGCTTGTGGGGGATTTGGGAGACCTGCACCCAGAGGTTGCAGATCCGGCCGCTGCCGCACGCAAGGCAAGGCGCTGACCATCATGGGGTGTCCTCCGAAACTGTTTCATTGTTTTTTTTAGGGTACCCTCCCCCCAAATGGAAGACTGGATCCATTTGCAAATTTGCCTTTTGGGAGCTTCCATGTTGAGTCCTGCAGGCCCGAAGCCTTTCCACCTTTTGCCTTATGTTTGCTGCTTTTTGAGTCGAGGTCCTAAAAGGCAAGCGCCTGTTGTTTCTGGGTCCTGTGGTTGCAAGTGGGCATTCCCACCAGCTGCCGATGCGAGTTTTTGCATCCCTGTGGCGTGACCATTCCAACAGCCATTTCATCCGGTGCATAGAATGGTGGATCAACATTTTGTTGATGTAAGGTGCACGGAATCATTTTGCTGCTACAGGTATGTGTCAGAACCAGATGACAAGAGAATCGACAGTTCGGTGAAAGTAGAGTGAACCTGGTGGATTGATGGGGTTTGTTTCCCCGCAAAGCAAAAAGAGGAGTTTCTTGAAACGGGAGACCCCCCTTGTAAATCAACCAGAGGTTCAGTAATCCGACGTGTCTCCAGTACGTTGGGCTTGGGCCGATCACCTTTCGTGAAGCGAGGCGAAGCGCGTAGCCGCAGCAAAGGCATCCGAATCTGATGGTTGCCTGTGCGATTTCCAGGTCGGTTTGTTTCGGGGCCGCGACAGCAGCAAGGAAGTTTTTGTCAAGTCTCCCTATCTTGAGATGGCTGTGGCTAAAAAAAAACGGTACCAAAAGGGAACCCTGGTAAGTGGAAACATGGACCAAAACCTGCGGTTTGCCCCTCCTGCTTAATTTTGAGCCACACCCAGACAGTCTCACCTGACTGGGGAAGGCAAGTTTCCTCGCACATGACTCTGGTAGGGAACCGTGGCAAAGTGCGGGGGAGTTCATGATGGAATGAAGCGGGGAGATTGACCGCATGCGTGCGAGCTGTTGTTGTTCGCCTTTATGGTGTATCCGAGCCATTTCAGCAATGGCGTGGTGCTTTACAAGGTTTCCAACGGTATTTCCTCCATTTGGAATCCTTTAAACAGCGTGTTTGGCTTTTGGCCAGTTCAAAATGGAGTTTGCGTTTCGGTCGGGGGAACCCTGTTTGCCCTGCCCCTTGCCTTCTTGTTGAACCATATCCAAAGTGAACCAGGGTAAAGGGCACCCTTGTAACCCAGCCTCGTTGCCAAGGGCCTGACGGTGTGTGTGCTTCTCAGGCGGCGGAATTCTTTCAGGCTCACGAAAATCCCGTTTCTGTGGTCCCGTCCGATGAGTCACCTGCAACCGCCTTTCCGAACCGCACCCTTGGTGAATTTGGAGCTTGCGACCCGGTCCGGGTCCAGCCGATGCAAAAGTCAGTTGTTCGAAGAGGGCAGCCCAAGAGACGAGAAGATCATCGCAAGCCATCGGCCAAAAACATGGAGAAGGCATGCCACATTCGAAAGCGATCTATGGGGCGTACGCTCCCAACAGGATCCGTTCACGTAGATGTGTGCTTTGTGGGTTGAGGGAGTGGGTTTTCCATGGGTTTCCACAAGCAAGGGTTGGTTTGTACTATGTACAGTATTTTTTGCAACGGTTTGGCGCGACAAGGTTTCTTCAAGGTGTTTCGGGCAGCGGGCAGACACCATGTGACGTGTGAATTCTTGGCAGGGCAGCTTCAATTAATTGGCCACGGGCGGCGGGTTTCAAATCCCATGCCGCCCCAGTCTGAGGCAAAATGACGGAGAGTTTAATGAGAGTCGAAAGCAGAGTTGATCCAACCACGTGGCTTCGCTGCCAGTTTGAACTTCTTGTATTTTTGTTCAAGGTTGAAAGCAGCCACAGGCCTTGCAAGTTGGATACGATGCGTTCCCTTGACTTTGCAGACAAACGAAACCAGAAGATTCGCCAAGTCTCCAGGATCCCCGACGTGTCGCCGAAAAAAAGAAGAAAACAAGAAAAAACAAAACTTACAGGGTTCCCTATACGTCCTTTGCGGTTTTTCAAGATTACCTTGTGGCCCAATTTGAACTGTGTGTTCCTTCTGGCAGGGGTGATGTTCAAAGGGGAATGCGACATAGGGAGCCTAGTGTTCCGCTTGCAATATTAGAGTGGTTCTCCACTTGCGGGTTTCGGGCTTTCAACGCCTGCAACTTAGCAATGGGCGTGTGTCGGAGGTTACCTTCTTGGCCCTTTTTTGGGGGCCGGTGGTTTTTCAGGGATGCCAACGGAAGAGCCGTCATTCATCGTTCCCAAATTTGGAGACAACCGCTTTATGGGAAACACGGGAAATGCGGAAAATCAGCTCTCCCACTGTGACCCCCCTTTGGGCCTTGCCAACGAGTGGGCCGAGCGGCGAGGCGGCTCACGCGGCTGCCCTGCGCCTAAGGCAAAGGCACATGAGACAAGGTGCGAAAGCGCGGGGTCTGCGGGATGCGGAGGAAGACCCAGTTGCCCAGTGCATGGTTGCTTGCGTTTTTTTTTTTGGGGGGGGGAAGGGTTCCAATTCCTTTAAAGTCAACCAACCAAAAAAGGATGCCGATTCTTTTTTCGCATGGCCACGGGGCATCTGAGAATATTTGATTAGCAAGAGGGTCGCCCAATTGGGGGTCTCCTACGGTCTCCTCTTTTTAGGGGAACACACCCACGTATCAATACGACGTTTGCCCTCCCATCAACACATGGACCGGCCTCTTTTGGAAGGCTACATTGCTTTTGGAAATGGAGCCTGTGCACTTCTATGTTTGCTGATGGGAGGCATTGCTTTCTTTCTGGGAACGGCTTTCTGTTGAACCCCGGAAGAAAGAGGGCGATGGCCACCCTGCCTTCGGAGCAGTTGGGCTTTGAGAAATCCCCACCCCACCTTGATGGATCTTTTTGGAAATGCCGGTGGCGCAGTGAGGTTGTTTAATAGCCCAAAGGCACAAAGGCGATCCTTTTGTGTGTGTGTGTGTGTGCTCTTGGGTGTTGGATTTGATTTCTTTGTAATATTTGTTGCCACTGCGTTAAGGGAGATGCATGGCACGCACCCGCATGACGGGCGTAAAGGCAACAGAGAGGTTCTGCGTTAATGTGCCCAGCTCACCCCTTAAATTCCAACGGCTTCCCCCAAGCGCCCAGAAACAGCACCCCGCAAGTCTCCCATGTTGTGCCTCAATGTTGGGCGGATGTGAGCTGAGTTTGGAGCCCAAGAAAGCCGTTTGAGGGGGGTTCTTTATCATGGGTGAGCTTGTTCTATCCCCCAGGGCTGGGGCAAAGATGTAGGCCCAAAAGCAGGAGGTGTCCCGCTCTGGACTTCTTGTAGCTTCATAGACAAAGCCCCGGGCGCGTTGTTTGGTTGTTTGTTTCCCAGAGCCCGGGGACCAAATGCATTATCCGGCTGAGCATCGGTCACCACGACCAACAATTGGAACTTTAACCGTGGCGCACATGGCAGGGCCGCAGCCACACCTATCAGCCAAGTTCAACCCCAGTTGTAGCCAGTTGACTTCACCCTAACAATCCCTTGGATCCCTCGATCAAGAATACACGGAATCAACCAATGAGGGCTTCAATTTGTTTTGTACCAGGAAGCGCTCAAATATATCTAGTACCCTCCCACCAACAAACAAGAAGCCTGCAAAAGGCCCTAGAGACTTCCAGTTGCTTAAGAATTGGTGTTTATTTCCCCGAGCTATCATTACTGGACATATGTTTCATTTTTTCCGGGCTGAAGCAAATGGAAGTCTTTAGAGGGCCTCGGTCCGAACCCTCTGTGGGCGGGGGGGGGGCGTCAGCCTTGCCAGCCCTCTCCTTTGCGCCGTGGGTACCGCGCTGAGATGGCAGCGGTACGACCTTCGGGGGGGGGGAGGGAAGATGCATGACGTAGTTTTGCCCGTGCCAAAATTAATGATTTTGGCTGGCGTACGGTTGGCCGTTGAGCTTCTTGGAAATATTGTTTCCGCTTCTCATTTTGGTGTTTGATCTTTTGGTCAGGGTCCAGAAAACAATCTTGCCAATGCCGGCAATGTGTTTTGGCCGTTTGGCAAGTCAGTTTGACTAGGTATGTGTCATACTTTGCACTGCCCGATCCCGTGCCCCATCTTCTTCGCATTGCAAGGCTGAACTTGGACCTTCTTGCGTCAAGTTTGGTTCCTCAACAGGGCTGGTTTCATTAATTGGCCATGGGGCAGAACTTATGTCTCCATTTTGGGGTGGATGAACATCCATTTGCCACCTATTTTGATGTTCACCAGGGGTACAGGGTCTTGACCCACAGCCAATTTCTATGGACGGCTTTTTGGAAGGAAAGCCACAGGGTACCCGCCATCTTTCAGGTTTCTCATATGAGATTAGTATGCAGAGTGAGACTTCAAGGAGATGCAACAAGCTTACCCCACGAAGACACACTAAGGGTTAGTAAGTGTAAGTTCGCAATGCATCGGGATGTGATCACAAAACAGGTGGAATCATGTTAGTTTGATTTTCGCCGGGCGTGGAGTGGACCGAACGTAGCACATGACGCTTTGTTTTGCTTTAGTTGTTTGAAGCCTCTTGTTTGGATTCGCACATGGCTGATAGCCCATTTTTTCGTGGATGCTTTTTTCCCCATTTCTGAGCGCACAAGCGATAGGCAACACCAAAACAAGTTCCCCTTTTGCATCAGGGAAAATCACCAGAAGACTCTGCCTACTAACATGCCACCCCAGAACGGTGAACTGAGGAGCTTCCATTTGAAAGTTCCTTCTTCCAGGTTCCTGTGCGGCGGATTTGTTTGCCTTGCAAGGGAGACCTTTCAGTTGCATTGAAGAAATCCAACAGAAAACCTCTCTGAGGGCAAATGAGAAAGGCCATTGGACCACTTGCCAACAAGCAAACCAGGAAAATGGGAGGTGTCCACCCGGCCAGAAGCGCCACCCGATTTGAGACAGACCCTAAGGCCCAGAACCCATCGCAGTGGCAGCAGTGGCAGCAGTTGGGAAGCCCGGCCATTGGCGCGGTGCGCTGTCCACATTGGCGCTTGTTGGTTTTTCCTCAGCTGAAAGTTCTGGGGTCTCAGCCCAGATAGGCTCCGGGGTGGTCCGGGGCGGCCCGAGGTAAGGTTCCACGAAGGTTCCCAGCAGGGTTCCACGAGGTCTGGGAGGGCTGCGGGGTGGTGCGAGCACTAAAAAAAACACCGCATGGATATCAACTGAGCTTATTATTTTTCTTCCTCTTTGTTTTTGGGTGGGGACTACCAAAAAGAGCGTGCCCCTTTTGTGTCTGATGACCACTGGGTGTTTGGGTTGTTTTGTCAACAGATCTTGAAACCCGAGGTGAAAGGAGGTTAGGAGGAAACGATGCATTCGCCCTTGATTCGGGCTTGTGTCCAAACAAAATTGGAAGTCCCAAACCGGATGGTTTATCCGTGTTCCCTTTTATTCAGCAGCGCAATGCCCCAGGGACCGGTTTGGCATTTGCACAAATGATGAATATAATTTGTAGCAACCAAAACCAAGCCCAAAGCATACGTACTATTGGCGTGTGTGTGTGTATGTGGAACATACTTTGTCCAACCAATCTGAGGAAGGTGGTTTTACAATTCGGCACACCTTTAAATAAAATATGATTGAACTGTATGTACATCATTTCTGATCAGTTAACCATACTGCACCTTTAACATTGTTGGATTAACTTGACACACACACACAGATTTAAGATATGTTTGTGCCCATTTTGCAAAACAATCAAAACAATAGTGTAAGCACAAACCATCCAGAACTCCATTATATGATGTTGACATGCTGTGTCATGTGTTGCTCAGCTGATCTGTATGTATTACACGCCGTATGTTGACTTACTTAGATGTTCAGAACCTTGTCGTTGTGTTCAATTTCTTGAGCCTTGCCCATTGCCTCAAGGAGTTCTCCATGAAACGTCGGCCACCGGATAAATGTCATGGCAACCCACACGCAGGCCAGCGGAGCCCTCCCGGCCGCCCGCCTGGAAGGCGCAAACGCAGCCAGCTCTTGCCGAGTTTGTGGCGGCAGGGTTTTCTTGTGAGTGCCAGGCTTCCTGTAACTCACATGTTTTTGCGCATGTGCTGTCTTAGCTTTCCTGAATTGTCCCTGTTTACCCGCCAAAATAAGCTTTGGGCAGCGGGTCTGGGTCTGCCCAAGTTTGAGGTGATTTGAACGTCACCTTGTTTATAGTCACGCCAGGTCAGTTTCCTTTTGCTGGGCAAATGATTAGGGCACATATGTGTAGAATTAAATGGTTGGAGTTGGAGCGCTTGCATAGGTGGTCCGTGGTGGCGCTCGCCCCCGTGGTGCTGCGCACCTTCAAAACTATGCCACATTTTGGGGTAGGCTCAATATGTCGACATGGGCCAAACTCTGAACAGTTTCTTGTGTGTACCCCAGATCTGGGCCAAGCTTTTTGCGGGATGGTTTACACCGTCCCCAAACCACTGTCCCGCAGCGTGATGTATACAACCGCGACATTTGCATCTAACGGGTATTCCAGTTTATTGTTTTTCCCCTAGCAGATGAAAGCTTTGGGGTCTCAGCCCAGATAGGCTCCGGGGTGGTCCGGGGCGGCCCTGAGGTAATGTTCCACAAGGATTCCACGAGGGTTCCACCAGGGTTCCACCAGCATTCCACGAGCGTTCCACGAGGTTCTGCGAGGGTGGTGGGAGCACTAAAAAGAGCACCGCATGCTGCTGGGGATATCACCTGCATGAGCTTATTCCCTGAGTAGTTTGGGGATTGCTGGAAACCATTTTGGACCCAGGTTTGGCCCGGTTTTTCGGGCGAATTCCGACGGTCTCTCAGCCGTTTTTGCGTCGCCCACTGACCACTCCGCGTCGCTGCGCAGCGGGTGGCATTTGGCTCCAGCGAAGGCCACCGGGCCACGGGAGCGTGCAGCGTGGAGGTTCGGCGAGGCAGGTGGCCGAAAAGGGCCCGAGTTCCGGGCTTTGGTCGCTTGTTGGGATTTTGGGTTGGGCCATTTTAGTGGCTTGCACAAGAAGTGTGGTGACTTTTTTGGCGAACCCCACTCAGGAAGTGAGGTTGGTATGTGGTTTATCCCAGCGTTCAAAGGGCTTCATCCATCCCAACTGGTGCACGATTTTGTCCATCTGGGGGGGGTACCTCAATTCATGTTTTGCTTAGGTGATGACTTGGGCTGGTTTTGTTTGAGGGTGCCCTTTCCAGCTTGGCATAAAGGGGAAGAACCGAGCCAAACGGAAAACCAATATGTGGGGCCTAAATATTCACAGGTTGGAACCTCACAAAGGGGCCTGCTCAAAGAACCACAGTAGTCTTTCTCCCAAGAGATGCCAGATTCAAGAGAGGGCAACATTGGCTCGTTTTTTTTTTTTTTGACTCCCTCTAAAGATCAGAAGCCCAAAAGGACACCGACACAACCCCGCACGTGGTTTGCCTGACATCGCACGTGTTGTTGTTTTCTTTAGAACCTTTGAATTCAGATGAGGGCAGCACTTATACACCGAACTTGGCATTCCTTAGTTGCCTTCCATGTTTTGTTGAGTTCGTTTCAATTGGAATGGCTGGCTTTTGGAGGCTATCCAACAGATCCTGACTTGGATTTTGCGCAGGGAAACAACAACAAAAATCCCTCAGATTTGTTCAATCTCGACACTGGGTTTCCATTGGTGCCCTGGTAGGGGTGCTTGAAAACTGGATGGGGATATCTGGGGATTCCAAACCTCCAGTCTACTTTTCTTGGCCCACCCAAATGATTTGGCTCACCCAATGTCCATGGAAGTTGACAGGAAAGAGGGTGCGATCCGGGTGGGGAAGCCGAGAAACCAAAGCCAAGCCTGCCGTTTTTGAGGGTCCCTCTATTTGACATATCAAAAAAGCCCCGACCCCAACCAGATCCAATCAATTGGACCAAAACTCGGACCCGGAAAGTCTGACCCGGATATTATCCCCAATATTGGGGTTGATGACTTGGGGAAGCCATATGTTCAGCAGTTAGATCCACATCAGCGTTCGACTTCTAAACGGGTGGAAGGCCCCCGTTTGAACCAAGCCTTCGCAGCAGGGTTGTGGGGTCACTCGGGGTTTATCCAACCACTTCTGTGACAAGGTTGGGAATCTCCAATTGAAATGCGGGGGGGGAAGCCTTTGGGAAGCCCTCTTTGTTGTATCACAGAGGGGAATGGCCTGCCGAATGGTCTGCCCATGGCCTTCCCACCTCCCCCCACCCCTCCCCCCACCCACCCCCCCACCCCCCTGCTTCGCTTTCGTGCTCCCGACAGAGACGCGCCGCGAGTCGCGAGTCGAGGGGTCATGGCGCATGACCCCTTCGACTGCAGCTTGATGAGCCTTGAGCTCGAAGAGCTCCGCAGCTCGGCGATGGAGAACCTCCAGACCTGTGGGGGGTGAACTCAATCTCGTTTTTGTTCCTCGACTTTGAGAAGAACGTGGATATATGTGCCTTTTCCTGTTTTGAGAAACCGAACTTTGATTTTGACTTTGAGTTTGAAACAAAGTCGATTGCCCAAAAAAGAGTGCCTTTGTATCCGCATGGCACTTGGGCTCTATATGGCTCGTCGCAATTGGGACCCCCCCCCCCCAATGGTAGGTCGGTTCATTTTAGCGGACATCCAGTAGTTAGTGCGTTTTTTTTTGGTGTTTTCCTTTGGAATCAGCTTAGCCCTTTTTTATACTTGATATGAGGCGTATGTCTACGCCTCAGACCATTTTCCACGGCAGATGGTTTGAGGCGTAGTGGGCGCTTGGGTACACCGTTCAGTGGATTTAAACCTTTACATCTAACTTTCTGTTTGGTGGCTTGGGGGCCCACGATAAAATACACGCTCAACTCGAACAGGGTCCTTTTCTACCCAGGTCTCCCGTGGTTCGGCTTCTTCCTTTTGGTTGGAAGGATCCCTGTGGGTGAGGGAAACGGGTGCTCGGTTTTTCGAGACTGCCGCTTTGTTTATGTGGTTGACCGGGGGAACTCGCAGGAAGCCACCAGGTTGGGATCGCGTGTTTGACACACCGGGGACCGGAGCATTCCCGACCCCGTCTGGAGGGAAGTTACGCCCTATCCGAAAAAGGCCTCGCTGAAAGGCCTCGCTGCAAAACTTTTTCAACCGCTGCGAACATGGTGGATTGGGCGAGGGCCAATTCCGACCTTTGGAATTCCCAGGCATGGCAACCCATGCCGCTTTTGTGTGGAAGACGAGAATCAAATAGGGCCCCTTCTCCCAGAGGTGGTAGGGGATTTGGCAACTTTATGCCTTATGCCCTTTCACGTGCAACCCCAGTGAACCGCCCGGGACAGATCTTTTGGCCACGCATTTCCATGGGACTGAAAATATTAATTTGTCTCTATTGGCGGGTCCTGTTGCAAGTGAGCCTTCACAGTACTTCACAGTTGTCTCGGTGTGGATACCCTCCGTCCGGGTGCTATGAACCCATGAGGGTCGCTCCTTCGTTTAACGGACGAGGCCCGGGTTTGGTTTGGTTTCCTTGCTTTCCCGGGCCAAATTTCCAAAGGGTCTTTGGAGCAATCCTGACACATGCCCCAGCCATTGCCTAAGCTAAGAGCTTGCATACCAACCTATCAGAAGTTCACGGCGCAGACGCGATAGTTGCTTGGCGAAAGCGCTATGCACTGCAGCATTTTACGCTCAATAGCCTGCATCTTAGCAAGTGAGTTTTTTCATGGTGACGAAGATGGATCTCGCGTTGACCAGGCCTGTCAATTTCATCCCTCACTTGACGGCACCGCTGGAGCCAGGGGCGTTTTCTACGGTTTGGAGCCCGAAGTCGAAGTCGGGTGCTGGCTTTGTGGCGGCCGTGTCGGTGTCTTGAACGCTTGGTTGACCTTTATGTAGTTGATGTTTTGAGGCTTGATTCCCCATTGTCTTCACCTTGTTGCTTTTGCTTGTGCGACTTTTATGGGGTTGCGCTGTTCTTTCTTTACATGGCATTTGCCAGTTTTGGATGCATTTGTTCAGGAGCTAGGCCTTAGTTTCGACTTGTCTGCAACATGTGTGTATTTAATCCTTTTCAACCACTAGCCAGCAAGAAGCGATTCACAATCCACCCAAGGTGTCTATCCAGAGGCCTCGCGTGTGCCGATATGCCAAGCTGCGAGACCTTTTAGTGCTTTGTGAAGTGCCCAGCCCATCGACGCAGGCAGTGAGGGCTGTTCTCGACCCAATCCATGCGTTGGACATAAGAAGCATGCTTCATGGCCGACTTAGCTTACCTGTTAATTGTTGTTTGGTTTCTTTCACCTGCGGCAGCAAACGGCCAAACTGTTTTTCGTCGGGTGTCCTCCATGGTTTCCCTTGGCAAACAACGGGCTTTGGCCCAGGTTCGCGGAGCTGGAAGAGGCGAAGCGTGCCGACATTTTACTGGAGATCCTCCAGGTGCTGGCGGAGGACGGGCGGCTGGACGTCAGGGATTTTACAAGAGCCATCTCTACTTGCTCGAAGCTCCGCGCGTGGCAACATGCCTGTGCAGTCCTGAAACTTGGCAGTTCTCAGCCACAAGACTTGTGGGTGTTCTAGAGTTGAACCTTTTCGCTGACCTATCCCGTACCTTCAGCGGTTCAGATGATTGGAGTTTAGAAGTATCTCTGACATACTGTGGACGGACAAAATCCTGCATCACCTAGGAAACCCTGGAATGATGATTCACCTGTAAATACCAACTCATTATGGTTTCCCATGGTTTCAAAGTGGTGCAGGAGTTTGTCCATCCACAGTATTACATGCCCTTGGGCTGGTTAAATGCTTTGTGTTTAGACGGTTTGCTGTTGCCAGCCATCGGACCAAGGCGAAACATGGCTTCAGGCCAGGTGCAGCCCAATGAGATCAGCTTCAATGCAACCATCAGCGCGTGCCAGAGGGCCCAGCAGTGGCAGCAGGCGACAGGAAGTTGGGAACGCTTTGTTTGAACAGGCGATCCGACTTTGACTGGATTTGCGTGTGCCTTTTTCAGGGGGTAGTCCCCCGCCCAAGATGCCTCTAAAAAACACAAAGCAGGTTGTACCCTCAAAAGAGACACACCCATATCCAGCCTGCTTGCTTGTTTTCAGAGTTTTGGGCCAACAACTGGTAAAACTTGTTTGAACTTAGGCGGTAACTTTTCGAGGCAACCGACAAATTTGAATTATTTTTGAGGGGGGCAATAGCCACTAGGCCACTAGGCCAAATTTGGGCCAAGAGGAGGCTGTCCAAAATAATGAAGAAGGGGGTTGGCCAACTTCCAATTCTCACTGTTCAAACCAGCCTGTAAGATCCAAAATGCTTCGTTACCTACTATGGCGATAGCTAAGATACAAGCAAACAGACATGCTTCAAACCAGCATTGGTTTGCACATATCCTCTTGAAACGCGAGTGGTTTCCTTTGAAGGGCAGGGTTTGGCTATTGAGCCACATGTGTGCCACCCTGGCAGGCGATAGCCGTGTTCCAATCGATGCCGGAGACGAGTGTGGCAGCGAACCAGGTCAGCTTCAACGCGGTGATTAGCGCCTGCCGGGAAGGAGCGTGTTGGCAGGAGGCAGTGGCGCTCTTCAACCTCATGCCCGCAACAAAGCTGAAAGCGGATACCATCAGCTTCAGCACGACCATCAGTGCGTGCGAGAAGGCAAAGCAGTGGCAACTGGCCTTGGCTCTTTTTGGAGACATGCCACGGGCAAGCGTGCATGCGAATGGGATTGTGTTTAATTCAACCATTAGTGCTTGTGAGAAAGGGGGAAAGTGGCAGCAGGCGCTAGCCTTGTTAATGTCCATGTATGCTGCTCAGTTGCAAGCAGATGACATCAGTTTTAATGCCACGATTAGCGCTTGCGAGAAAGGCGGCCAGTGGCAGCAGGCGTCGGCCTTGTTGACCGCAATGGCCGCTGCACAAGTTCAAGCAGATGGCATAAGCTTTAATGCATCCATTAGCGCTTGCGAGAAGGGCGGCCAGTGGCAGCAAGCATTAGTCCTGCTCCAGGCAATGCCTGTTGCGAAGGTGAAAGCGGATGAGATAAGCTTTAATGCAACCATCAGCGCTTGCGAGAAAGGTGGGCAGTGGCAGCAGGCATTGGCCTTGTTCATGTCCATGGCCTTTGCGAAGGTGCAATCAGATCACATAAGCTTTAATGCAACGATCAGCGCTTGTGAGAAGGGTGGCCACTGGCAGCAAGCTCTGGCCTTGCTTTTGTCCATGCCTGGCGCATCAGTGCGAACAGATGATATAAGTTTCAATGCGACCATTAGTGCTTGCCAGAAAGGGTGGCAGTGGCAGCATGCCCTGGCTTTGTTTAGCTTTATGCCGGAAGAAAGCGCTCAACGAGATGAGATTAGCTTTAGTGCAGCCATTAGTGCCTGCGAAAAAAGCGGACAGTGGGAACAGGCATTGGCATTGTTTCGGGCCATTCCCGAAGCAATGCTGCGAGCAAATCAGGTCAGCTTCAATGCAACTATCAGTGCTTACGAGAAAACTATGCAGTGGCAACAGGCCTTCGGCCTTTTTTGGTCCATGCCTGAATCACAGGTTCCAGCAAGTGAGGTCAGCTTTGGCGCCAGCATCAGTGCATGCGAAAAGGCTGCAGTTTGGCGTCAAGCGGTGGCCCTATTGTGGTCCATGCCTGCGTCAAAGGTGCAAGCCAATGAGGTCAGCTTTAATGCAGCTATCAGTGCTTGCGAGAAAGGTGTAGTTGGGCAATAGGTCCGTGTGGTGAATCCTCTTTCCTGAGTGTTCAAAAATAATCCTCCGAGATCCTATGTGTTTCTGGCCTTGTTAAAAAACAGAAAAGAAAACAACACATGTTTTGGGAAGACCAGATTAGGGCAACAGTTTGCACTGTTGGCCAGATTAGGAATCACCGGATCGCAGCATTCTGAACGACCCAGTTTTGCATGACTCATGACCCTTTGTCCAACACTCATGGAATGTGGACAAAGGCTTTTTTTCTCAAGAGGATGGTAGAGGTCTAAAACTATCCTCTCCACCTCCATGGTTCCAGGATGGCAGAGCTCCCCGTTCATATTGGCGCATTTACCGTCCTTTACTGCAGTTCCCTGCAAATTCTTCAATTCGGCATGAATCGCTGGGATTTTGAGTCAAAGCCTTCTACGACCTTTGCCCGCACCAAACGGGTCAACGGGTCTCCTTTTGGTTTCCTTGAAGATCACCCTGAAAAGGGTGCCTCAAGAACAACACTCCCGTTTTGAGTGTTCGGTGCTTCTCTGTTCGACTCCTTTGCGTGGTCTGCGTAAAGAGAAAAAGGGGCGCCGTCGCATGGCGTGGTTTGGGGTCATGTCCAAAGCGCGCCCATTGTAGGTTGAAGTACACACATCAGTGCAGATGGTGTGCATAGTTTGTGCATATGCATATATATCTTTAAAAAAAATACATCAATACATAAGCGCTTCTACAGTAACCTTTCGGTGGCCGTGTACCCCATATCCCTTTAGAGGTACAAGTTTTGATAGTAGCAGAAATTAACTGAGGAAGCAGTGCCTGCTTTGTCAGGAACTGCATTCCCATGCATTCTGTTGCTGTCCAGTGGTAGCTATGGTAGCTCGAGTTTGTCCCAAGGGATGGGCTCATGCGACATGAGAGCACAATGTTTGCAAGAGGCGTGTTGGCACGTTTGATTCCCGCCGACAGAAGGAAGGAATCAAGGAGAACGTTGAAGGGGCTTGGGCCTGTCAGCTTGGAGAGACGATGTCGAAATTCCGCAACTCCCCACCCCCCGCCCAGATTTTCAGCGCACGCTGTGTTTTTCGGGTCTTGCTTCTTGTTTTTGCAGCGGTTCAGTGACGCCCTCCAAATCCCCTTCTTGTTGGGTAGGCTTCCGACTTAAACGGTCTACCCCCAAAAGGTGTCTCTTTTCGACCAGGCTCCTGGGTTGCAACGGGGAGGTCTTGTTCGCAGATGCGCCCGCCCGCCTGCATTTGCCCGGCTCTGAGGCACGGAGGACGTCTCGGCGGCGGTCGGCCCGGCGAAGCTAGCGAGTCGCCTGGCTGGCCTCGGCTGGCGTCATTGGCATCACAACCTGCAACCATTTGAAACATCGCCTTTTCCACCAAAACAAAGGGAAAGCACCATGACTAGGCAATGTTCAGGTGTATAATGCAAGGATCCCTGTTTCAGGGTCGCCAAAAGCCACCAACCTCCTTGGCTTGAAAGGGCGCAGGCCACTGGAAACGACGCCGAGGTCGCGGGGATGCCTGGGATGGCAAGGAGGAGTCCGAATCCAGGACTCACCGGGGGTTACCTCCGCCGACAGCCGGGTCACGGCGCTGGGGGGCAAGAACGAGCCGAGGGCAAAAGGAGCTGACTCATGATGTTTCATGGTGAAGGTCAATTGTGGGGGTGTGAACCGTAGCGATTCTTACAAGTGGACCCTGGATTGGTTGTGCTTCACACAAAGAGAAGGATCGTCTCTTAAATGGGATGCTGCTTTTTGCTTTTGAATCAACCAGGGATTAAGCCCTGGATCCCATTGACGTGTGCTCGCTTACTAAGCAAAGGACCCCCGACTTTGGCTTGGACTCTGAAAGGGGCCCAGGTGAAAATTCGGGGCTGCCGAAGCCGAAGCGGTCAGGAAGGGCAAGTCCTGGTGGCGACCATGGAGGAGAGATGACAGGCAGGTGCTTTTGGTTGGACGGGCTTTCCTGCCTTTCCCACCCCAAACTTTTTGAGAAAGAGGTTAGGATTGAAAAAACATGGCCCCCCTCCTCGTCGCCAACCTGTTCTCAAGCAAAGACCTGAGCTTGAAAGCACACAGGCAGACTTGGCAATGACTTACCAACCGGAATCGCTCTTGGACTCAGAAAAGGCACAGGACCCCCCTGAAACATATGTTATATGGTGTTATATAGCACTTTCGGATGAAATTAAACGTTACGATAATTGTTGTGTATCCCCTTTGCTTACCCGGGAATTGAGCCATCTACTTCGCCCTCATGCGCTTTAGTCATGCTGACAGTTCGGGTCTCCGAGGCCTGAGGTGTCGGAGGTCATCGAGATCTCCGACCCTTTGCCCACGGCCGTCAAGGCCGCATGAGATCTTTTTCCGTGGGGATGTTCAACTGGGTGCACCTCGAACTGGCCTCATGAAGGGTAATTTCATGGGTACTGGTGCCCGAATTTCTATGGCGTATTTTGAACAACTCACCAGTCATTGTTGGACCGACCTGACCCTTCCACTTGTTTCAGAGAATGAGTTTTGGAAAAGCAGAGTCTGGTTGAATCCAGGCTTCGACGTTGCGGTTTAAATGTACTTTCCAACCACCGGCAAAGAGTCTGGCCAAATTCTTCACAAACATGGTTCTCCTCACTTGCCCAAAGCCGACCTTTTGACCTTTCAGTTTTCCCTTGTTGGTCTATGTTTTGTCATGCCCCCAAAGGGTAACGCTTTACTTGCAGGTCCTTAGGGCAACTGAGTAGCAGCCAACCGTGGTTTAGGACTAGTTGGCTGACCTTCACTTGCAACACCAAAGGGAATTACCTTGAAAGTGATAAAGTAGTCATGTGCTCCAATCCCAGTGAGCCTTTGCATTGCTTCACTTTTGTTGCAAGGGTCATTTGGCCAAGGCACCTCTTCACTTCAGCCCGGACGGGGCCGACTGCGGCTCGGGCAACTGCTGGGGATGCGTTCCTTTTGCCCCGATTCTTCCATTTAGCTGGTTGCCTCTTTGGGATTCTGCCGAGTCAGTAGGCTATTGTTCTTTCCCTAGAGAGAACCCAAGGGGGATGCATATTAGTTGGACATTTACAGACTTTCATTTGGCATGCGGTTCACGATCATCCACTATAGCACGGAGGATGTCATGGGCACATTCACATATTTGTTATTCGAAAAAGGGGGCCGAACAAAATGAGTATGTCCCTCATTTGCTGAAGATGAGTTGTGTTTTTTCCTTGGCTGGTTTTTAAACAGGGGTGGTCACAAGTGGCAGGTAAGGTATGTATTTCGTGGCCGTGTCTCCAGGAGCAGGACGATTTCTTTGCAAAGCTGCATGGTTTCCAAGTTTGTTTCCCTCGAAAGCACAGGAGGAACCTGGGAACCAAGGTTGCTTGCAAGTGAGCGGACATCACTTCTTCAGCCTGCAAACACCGCGAAAATTTTCCCTGAGGCCATGGATTTGTTGTACCCTCACGTTGCCGAAGCTGAGCGTTTGGGAGTGGTAGGGCTGCGGGCGGTCACCGCTAGCAGCAGAATCCCTTGGTTCAAAAAGTTGGGAGTCCAAATGGAAGGTTTTCTTTGGGTTTTCCTCCAATCAAAGGAGTTCCCTCTGTTTTCCCGCAAAGCCAACGGCATATCTGGACGAACTCGAAGGTGAGGCGAGGTTCCGCCACTGCCCAGAATCCCCACTCACACGATCCCAACGCACCGAACCAGGTGTCTTCCTTGGATACCTGAAACAGTGCAAAACACATCAACCAAGTTCCATGCACCCTTTGGTGGGAAAGACTAGAAGACTACGTTGGGTCACCCCTCCCCCCGCACACCCTTCCCATTTTCAGGGCGGGATAAGTTCGTCGTCGCGGCCACTTTGAGCCCCAAAGTGCGCGGTTTGCCACAAAGCAGTTATTGATGGTTAAGCCAACCATTGACCACAGGTTCATATCAGGTGTTCAATATGTGTGACTTGTTTGAAGGTTTCCTTTCACCTTGGTTTCGAGGAAACATTGGCTGGCTGCACCTGTGTTGACACTTACCCATACTTGGATGTCCGCCAAACTTTGTGAGTAGTGAGCATGTTATAAGATACAACCATAGTCATGTCACAACTAGGGTAACGAGGGGCAGTCTCGCTGTAGCTATGGTTATCACCCAATTGCTCAGGGGCTTGAACACCCTGTTGCGGGCTTTACATCATGTCCTGCTGTTTTTGTCCCTGTTACATGCAGCCTTTGGTTTTCGCCGAGGTATGACTCCAATCAGCCTTGAGGGTGGTCATGTGCGGGCAATGCCTGCGATGCTGCAAGTGCCCATGACGGCTGCTTGTTATGAGCAGGATATGTGGCTGGCAGGTGTCGCCATTTTTGCAGGGCCCAACAGCTTGGACTTTCTCTAGCCAGTCCCCTTGGCAGGTCGCCAAAGGTTGAGACTATGCAGGTGTGCCTTGAGCGGCTTGTTTGGTTGCTTCTGTCGTCTGTCGTAGGACACCTGGGAAGGCAGGTAAATGGCCGTACACATTTTGCCCCTGAGCTTTCAAGCCTTTCAGGCGAAAGGTGCCTGCTTTCCTAAAGGACGAAATCCTGCAGTTGGTAACTGGCTTACCCCAGTTTTTCGTGGGGGGGATAAAGGCCATTCATTCCACAACCCAGGATGAAGTTTTTGTATGGATCCCATAAAATGCGAAATTGGGCTTGACTCGGCCGGATGAATGACCTTTCCATGTTGCTTAGTCCCGGCAACCTTGTGTGGGGGGGGGGGGGCTCTTGAGGCCCATTTTACAATCACAGGTTTTGAGGGTGGGTTGAAGTAGCCGTTTTTGGTGAGGGTGTTCTCTTTTTCTTTAAAGGCAAGCGCCCAAAAAACATTCCTTTTCGGGGTATCTCTCCGAGGAGATGCTGGCGCCGGGCGCCATCCCGTCCCCTTCTCACTCGGAGGTTGGCGAACGCCTTGAGCGGGCGGCTTGACGGAGTTGTTGGGAGTGCAGGGGCATTGCAGGGGCTTTGGGTGGAAATTTTGGAACATATTGGTGTAC